CTAGCCTGTTTCTCTGGGTAAGACTTGATTCCAGGACTGACTTGTACTTTGGCTACTCCATTTTCATGAGTTGGTGTGGTGCTCTATAGTGAACCTCATAATTATGTGTAAGTTCGTGTCTACAGAAAAGAAAGAAAACCAGTTTTCTTCTGCCATAATTTCTGTGGCAGAAAATAATAATCTGAGACCATTTTTAAGAGCTTGTGCTGTGTTCTGCGAATGAGACTATGAAATGCTTCAGCAATGAAAAACTTGTCTCTCAAGGCAAGAGCTTGGATGGGTGCATACATATATACACACTGGTAACCTGTATGGGGAAATATAAGATGATCTTGCTGATCTGGAGCTTTTTGTAAGCTCCAGAAAACTGACTTAAAACCACCTACAGATATTTACATGAGTGGAAATAACAAATGAAAACACCCCAAATAAAACTACATTCTTTCTACACCCCTAGGAAAAGAAACCAAAGCAGTCCTTCTACTCCTAACTTTCATTTCCTCATTTGCCTCAGTTGGGTCTGCTATACACGTGTTTGTTCATACAGGTATGTTGATGTAGGGTTGTGATCCTTGACTGACATGGCAGTGTGGACTGTGAAATCCTTGGTGTGGTCAAACAGGTGAAACTGTTTTTTTTCATTTTTGCAAATTATATTGCAAACTACATTGGTCAGAGGGCCTGGAGTAAACTGTTATGGCAAAGGAGAAGTCTTGCCAGTAAAGTTGTCCCTATTCAGGGTATATTAAAACTGTTTTAGTAGACTAGCTCTACAAGGAAGCCAGCATCAAACCCTAAACAGAACAGCTTTTAATAATGAAGCAGTAGGACTAATTTTGCCTTTTGTGAAAGAATTGTTCTCATCAATAACAGATGGTTTTTAAAAAAAGTAAATTAAAAGTACCTTCACAGCTTACTGTACCTCCTTTGGTATCCCAGAAAATCCATAGATTTAAAATTGGTATCAGCTGTAGTGCTGCAGTAGTAATGAATCGATCACCACCTGGAATGAGCAGTGTTGTATGGAACTGAATTGTGTTCAGGTGAAACAATGAAACAACAGAATGAGAAACTTACTTAAAACTGATGTTTTGACAGGGGTGTAGCTGTAAAGGATGAGGTTAGAAGCCATAGCAGTGAAACTCTCTATAAAATGGTTGCAATGAAGTAGGAATTTAACCAGATGTGATACCACTGGCTTTTGTTTGGAGTTCTGAAAAGTTTAATGAACTTAACTCCGTGTTCAGCATTTCAGTACTTGATTTTAAGGTACAATTGCTGAAGTAAAAGTGTATCTTCTAAGCTACTTGTGTACTCTCAAGCTATCACTATTTTAATGAAGTTTCTCCCTTCAGCTTCCTATTCTAATACCTCTGTATAAATTGTGAGATCCTACTGTGTAAGTATTGCTGGGAGCTCTGGTAAGCCGTGCCACCATTGAAATGGCCTTAAAGACGACTCTCTTCATTACTTTTCCTTTTATTAGCCCATGCTATGAAAATGTAGTAATTAAACCAAGTATTTTGCTAATATACAAGTTGGGTCTGGCCAGCTTTAAATTTGACCTCAGCAAAATCTTAGTTTGGATGCTTTGTATGCAGATTTCACTGGATTTCCAGATAAGGTCAATTAATGCTTCACTTAGTCAAATAGCTGTGCTTTGAACTAAGCAGAGCTTGTATTAACTTCTGTTGTTAACAAGAATTTATCATTTTTAAATGGTTTGTGGTGCTCAATGTTCACTTGCACCGCTAGTCCAAAATGAACATTTATGATTTTCAGTAAGTATTGAAACTTACAACCAGCATATGTTTTGAAGTAGTTATGAAGCTGAATATAAAATTTCTTTAGATTCCTAGCTAGCAATTAAGAGGACTGAAATTAATTTTTTTGGTTGGAAATGAGATTAATGTAAATGGAACAAAAATTACTTAAACTTCAGAAGCCTTTCTGAGGTGGTTGTAACATTGTGATTGAGTGTTAAAAAAAATAAGCTTTTCCATCAAGAAATGAACTTGTGTAGTTTTCATAAATGTGGTTGAGTTTTAGGCATGAATTTCAAGATTATTTGCAAACTGAGAGAAAATTTTAGGGCAGCTGTGAACGTGTCTAGAGTTTTGGGAGGGCTGTATGATGATCAGCACTTCTGTGAAAATTTGAAATATATTGTTTTTGAAGACTTACTGTAATCTTTTTTTAGTCAGGTAAACTAATTCCTCTTTTTACTCCTTCGTACTCAGTGTCAACAGGATTAAGCTTAGTGATAATGTGCAACTTGGTCTATATTGTAAGCATTTCTTATATTGGAGGAAAAGCTTGTAGGAAAGCTTATCAGACCAGTTAAAATAGTTGGAAAGGTAGCAATGCTTCTAGGGACCTTCCTCAGAGTTTGGATCAGCTTGGTTGTTAATCGGATATATGCTCAAAAATGGTGGATTGAATTGATCTGATGAGTTAGTTCTGATGCATAGGTCCTTTCACCTGTATAATTTCCAGAGGGCATTTGATGCATCTGAATGAAGCATAGTTGCATTTTGGAGTGCATGTATGTAGGTCTGTGGATGTTTGTATTTGTAGAGGTACTAGCAAGGTGTTTGCTTGAAATGCAGGGTACACTTGTCGCATTCCAGCCCTGGTAGAACCCTTGGCAGTGTACACAGCTGAGCTGAGCTTACAGTATAAGTGTTCTGTAATCTGGGGTGCCTCTGTCACCATTTGGCTCTTGTGTGCCTTCCAGAAAACTAACTGCAGTAATTTTGTGTACTAGAAATTTGTGCTGACCTGAAGCCCCTAATTTTGTACATTGAAGCATATATTTTCAAGATGCAGCTTGCAGGGTTATTCTAATAAAATCAAAGAAATATTTATCAAGATGAATGTAAAGACTTTCTTCTGTAGGGCCAGCAGTACTTTCACTGTGTAGAAGGTCTGTGGGATCTGTGTAGGATAGATATAAAGGCAGTAGCTCTGTGGTACAGTGAGTGGTGTACACTTGTTTAGGGGCTTGCAACTCACTGGGACAGTGGGCTCTGACACCTGGGGCATGCCTCTGGATGTGAATAGGGAACTGGTTGGGAAGAGCAGTTTAAAAACCATGATTTCCCAGCACCCAGCCTTGGTGGAAGGATGACGCACAGATTATCTTGATGGTTTCACCAGCTCTGTGAAATCTGTAAACGGTAGTCATAACTGATCAGCACTGTCCAGAACCACATTTTTCTTGCATATGTTCTCATTCAGAAGGGAGCAAAGTGTCCTCAGGCGGTACTCTAAGATGGTGGTAAGTGTGGACTTCATTCTGTCTCCAGCCCCTGTCCCATCAGTGCCCAAAATGCTGACTGTAATTGCTAATCAGAACACTTGCACTGGGGGCTTTAGAAAAGCTAAGGGAACTTCCTATTGTGGGAAGTACCGAACCTGATTTTACAGAATGAATCTAAGTAAATGAATAAGCACAAGTGCATGCATGAATAATGTATGGTGGGACTGAACTGCAGCCTGTGCTGTCTGTCATCTTCTCTGTTCTCATTGATACTTTAACTCTTCTGTGGTGCACTTGTTACTCTCTTTTGCTTGTTCTCCCTGCAACTGGGATCTTGGTTTTGCTGGTTTTCTGTATAATTCCCCTTTAGATACCAAAAGCAAAGGCAATATCCAGGAGTCTGTCATTTATTCGTTTCATGTTGTGGATGCTACTGGCAGAGTAACAAGATGTGTGGGCAGTACCATTCAGGGGTCTTGGAGAACACAGTGATGGTCAATTGCCATGTAAAAATTGTGAGAGCACTTCTTAAAAAGCCTTGTATTTGATTGAATTGCAGAAAGCAAATACAGTGTTCACTTCAGCCTCATGTTAATATTCCTTACTCACAGAGAAGGTATTGGGTACCAATGTGACTGTACTGATTTGGATCCCTCATCTTTTAAAGAAGTGCCTAGTCAACTTGTTTCTTGTCTGTGGCAGTTCATTCTTTAGTTATCCTATTCTCTTAGCCTTTTTGACCAGTAAAATTTTGTAGTTCACTGACATCATCTGTGCTTATTCTCCAGATTATTGCTAGAGAGAACAATGCATGTAGTTCAATGAAAATAGAATTTATATTAAAGGAGTAGAAAGGCAAATCATTGAAGGTTATCACTTTGACTGTTACTCTACTACAGATACTCTGCAATAGGCAGAGAGCATATATGCCACCACACTGTTGGTGTAACCACGAGGATGACATTCCCAGAAGAAATAGAAGTGATAACAAGAACTTTAAAATGGAGCAGAACTTTACAACTATGTTCTTTTGATACAGTTAGGTTAACATAATGAGCAGTTAAGGAAACTTAACAGACCTGTAACTTTTCTCAGTCTTTTTTACTTTGCAGAAATTTGCACAGTGTTCTTGAGCAAATTGGTAGTGTTTGAAATAGATATTCTGACAAAAGGAGTTGGAAGGAAAATAATGTTGTATAGAATGACTAATTGCAATTTAATAACAACATCACCCTTATTGGGGGTGTGTGCTTCAGTGCTTTAAAATCTTTCCACTTTGTAATATGAAGCCTGAAGCATGGCAGTTATCCTAAAAGTATGAGGAAGTATATGTAACATTTTATCTCCCTTGGTTATTGCTATTTTTATAGGAAGCCTAGCAGTGTAAAATCAAGAAGTAGTTTTATTAAAATCACTAGGTAATTTTGGCTGTACTGAATCTTGGTTTTATAAGAACCTGCATTAAAAAAAAATTGCTTCATAGGAAATCTGCATATGCAGACTAACAAAATGCTGGAAAGTGACAAAGTCAGTGTGGTTCTGGCATGTGTAAAAGAAAGGAAGAGAATATTTTAGCTCTTATCTGTAGGTTACCCATACTCTTTGCGAGCCACTGAAAAATATGTATACTTCCTACATTCAGAAAAACATCTAAATTAATGCATTAGCTGTGTTAGACTAAAAAGAATGATTTACCTGAATGTTGAAATTAAAACTGACTTAATGTGCCTTCTTGTAGGTGGTTTTGCTTTTGTCTATGAAGCTCAAGATCTTGGAAGTGGCAAAGATTATGCTTTAAAGGTAAAATGAATTTACTTCACTACAGGTTTACAAGGTCTGTCTTTTTGCTTGATGCTTTAGCATGACAGTTAATTCTTGTTGTATGTCACCAAACAAGGCATTTGGAAAAATCCAGAATGATAATAAAGTGGTGTTTGTAGCACATTGTACCTGTATTTAGAACAGTCATTCCTGTTAGGACCCTGCGCTTCATACTTAGATGCCAAAGATGGGAGTTGCTCTATTGGTACTACTGCTATTTGTCTTCATTTGGTCTAGAAATTCATGACCCTGCCCCCAAGCATTTTTTTTCCATGAGTAAAAAGAATCTTTCCTAGTTACCTGAAGTGGGGTACAGGAATATTTTCACTCCTCAGAAGCAAATTTAGCCTACCTTCGTACTTCCAGAGTAAGTTTCATCAGTATTAAAAATAACGGTCTACACTTTGACTCATTGATCAAACATTCAGCCTGGCACTTTTCAGAGACACTCCTCTGGATTCTTGTTTTCTGAAAGCTTATAATAATCATATAACAGCTGAAACACTGAAGTATTATGGAAAGGACAATAAAGTGAAGTAATCTGTCATATTTTGCTGCAAAAAATCATGTCATCACAAAATGGCTTCATTTTTGCAGTAGGGATGTTCTGTGGCTGTATCAGTACAAAGACATCTATCTTGGAGAAAAAGTGAAAAGGGTAGTAGTATGAGAGGTGGGAGAGGTAAGATGGCATTACACCACCAGTAATTACTTGGTCTGTTTTTTTCCTTTTCATACCACATCCTACAGTAACAAAACATGTGACCAAACTCATATAATTTGTGTGTTCAAAATGTCATCTAGAAGTAGCCCCATTTAAAAATAAGATAAAAGGTGAGCCATTACTGTACCTCTGTTTTGTATAACTGGTAGTTTTGTAGCAAATGCTCAGATTGATTCTAGTCAAATGTTGACTCCAAATTCAAGCAGTATTGGAAATAGTAATGCTTGATTTTGCTGTTGATTACTCAGGTACCATTGAAAAAGTTGGGCTACATAATTTGGAGAAGTTTTGGTTGGGGTGGGTTGAAGGTTGTTCCTAAAGATTTGAGCCAGAAGATGAACCTTTCCTTGTCAGTGCACAGTGCTGTCACCAGGAGACTTTAGTGTTTTATACAACAGAAAGCTGTCAGAGCAGTTACTTTGAGTGTCAAAGGTTACAACTACTCAGTTATCACTAAACCTGAACAGTACAGGTAGCTGGAAAACTGGGTGCTATAATTATGGATGTATGTCCAAATGTACAATAACCCTGCTTTGTTTACTGTCCCATCACAGTTCCTTAGGTTTTTGACTGTAGCTTATCCTTTGTGTTCTGGAAAAAAAAAATCTGTGCACTGTTTTTCTGTAAGTTTTAATAACTACATCTTCTCAATTATTCTGTTTTCTGACAGCGATTGTTGTCTAATGAAGAAGAAAAGAACAAAGCCATCATTCAGGAAGTTTGTTTTATGGTATCCTTTTCTGGAACATATTTTAATGTTTCAATTTAATTGCCTGATATCAAACATTTCTGAGAAACGGAGGACTGCTCTACAGATTCAGTTCTTTCCATGCCATTCACTACTCAAGAGGACCGACATTCTGAGGGAGGTCTGGGTTCCTGGTTTGTCATGAATCTGGCATCAATATCCAGCAAGTTCAATTCATCAAAAATTGCAGGAATTTAATGTGTGCAGATAACTTTTGTAGCTAGTGTAGACTTTGTCATGTACTTTATCTAGCAAGAAGTAGAATTCTTACTTGGGCTTTCTTGCAGTGCTGTGAGTATGGTCAAGAGACCTTTTGACTATTCAGATGATGCTTAGATCTTAAGTAGACTTCCCTCACATGCACTGGATTTATTGCCTTTTTGACTACTCAAAAATTTGCTTTTACTCTCAATGTTTCTTAATTTTTGCCTCAGATGCGTCTGGCTTTAAAAAGTAATACTGAATATTAAGGAAGGAATTTCGGTAGAATACATGCATCAGAAACAAGAAGCAGATGTTTTTCAGTGTTGTTGCTGTCCTTTTCGTCTTCAGTGATGTTAGATGATAGGGTATAATGTAATCTCAGTGTTTTCAGTCCTTGGCTTTAGTAAACTCAGTATTTGCTCTCCAGCATCTGCTCTAAGACCCTCAGTTTGTTTCAAGAGTCAGTGAGTAGCTGTGGTATGCTGTTGTTTTGTTTACCACTTTGAGTATTCAGCTTCATTTTGAATTACCAGGCAAAACCACTGACCTTCATTTAAGCCACTCAAATATTTGTTTTTATGATTACTGAAATGTTTGGCAAAATCTTACACTAAACACAGTTCACTAGTACACTTGTGAAGAACAGACTACGGTAGTACTATACATTTTCTAGCTACTCTACAACTTGCCAGAAGTGAGGAACTGAATGTTCTTTGGATGTTTTTTTCACAGCTCAAGCTCATGAAAGCATATGTACAACAGGAACGAGGGTTAACTGTTGCTAACTTTCCAAGATATAACTGAGATGGAATAAATTCCTGCAGGTCTGAGTAAAAGGTAGTGAAGAGATGCATAAGATATAGTACTTTGGATTCATTCTAATTTGGTGGATCAAACTTGCCCTTTTTTTTATAGCTTTGTTGTACTTATGATGTCTTTGCTTTTTTCTTTTCAGACTTGGTGAATGCATCTTGTAAATAGTCTGTATTTGTCTTGTAGGCATGAGTCTTAGCATATGACCAAGGTGATGCACATCAGGGACAACACAAACAGGCATAACGCAATGTAACTTGCACTGGCAGGAGTTGATATCACTTACATTGTACTCCCCTTTACATAGTTCAAAAATGATGCCTTGGATTTTTGAACTGGAAGTGGAACATGAAAAAGGTTTTAGTATGAAGAATTATTAGTAATGATGGGAGGATAAGTTCATCGATCTTTAGAGCTTTTATTTTTTTTGAACTTTTTTGATTACTTAAAATTAAAACATAACATACTTAATACTTGCTTTGGAAAGACAGGTACAGTAGCCCTTTCTTGATCAGCCAGCTAGTGAAGCAGCTGATAATTAAAAGGTCTCTCTGGTACTTGTGCTAATGCCTTGCAGTCATTGTCAAAAGACAAAAAGAAGTAACTAGGCCTGTTATGAAGTCCAGTTTCCTCAGAGCCTTAATCACAAGGATTTTTTTAATGTTTTATTTTGACTTTTTATTACATTAACTTCAATGGCTTCCCTTGAAGTCTGTTTTTTTCAGCTGAGGCATGGATTTCCCTGTTCTGCTCAGTATTTTAATTGCAGCTGTAATTCTTACTGTGGTTTTAAGCTAACATTTCAAATGAGATGTTTGTGAACTGCTATATATACAATAGGATCGATAAACTTGGCAGTAGTCTTCCTTGAACATGCTATCTCCAGAAAAAACTTTCAGGTCATCCCAACATTGTCCAGTTCTGCTCTGCTGCATCTATAGGAAAAGAAGAATCAGACACAGGACAGGGAGAGTTTCTTCTGCTTACAGAGCTGTGTAAAGGTAAACTTATTTCTTTTCCCAGCAGTGCACGTTGCTTCTGACAGCTGTTTTGCACAGGTTGCTTCACAACTTAGAAGCTTTGAAAGCCTCTTACAGATAGCATAGTTCAGTGGAGCTAGAGTTCAGCCTCATCTTTTATAGGATAAGGATCATGTTCTTTGAGACTACAGTTCAACCTCATATTAAATATGGGATAATCATTAAGTTCTTTGTGTTGGAGACTAGTCAGAGGAAGGAAGAGGAGGAATAGTTCCTTAGAGTACCATTTCCCTTGGCACTGCAGTCAGTGTGGATTCGCCATTTTCAGAATATCCATCTAATATTACAACTCAGTTTTCCTTGATGAGAAGAGTGTTTGCCTATTCCTGCCAAGCTTTCAGAATTTGTGGTGTTCTGTGTGTGTTTATGTGAACTTCTCTGATTTCCTGCAGGACAGCTGGTGGAATTCTTAAAGAGAGTAGAATCCAAAGGACCTATCTCCTGTGACACAGTTTTGAAGATCTTTTATCAGACCTGCAGAGCAGTGCAGCATATGCATAAACAGAAGCCTCCTATTATCCATAGAGATTTAAAGGTATGTTACAGTGTTTAAGTAAACGCTGAATTTTTAAACAGCAAAGGAGCCTGTTGGGCTGAAGCAGTGTTAAGGCTGTTGATCAAATACAGTGGACACTCTTGAGCATAGTGCTTACATGTATTGCCTTGCCAAGGCTGCTGGGTGTCAGTGAAGGTCATCACTGAAACACTTGCATCTCTTTAAACAACATCATTTCCTTGTCCTTGTGGTGCACAAGGTGGTGGTGCACTGTCTGAACAAGCTGACAGAAAAGTAGTATATCATGGTTTGCTAATTAACTTAGTCTTTAAGTAGTTCGCTTTTGATAAAATAACCAGTTATGACTTGTGAGCTGCAGTTTTGGGGTGAGCAGGTTTTCTAAATAGAAGAGGTAAAGCTTTAAAGGAGAAGAGAAGGTAATGTTGGATTCTCTGTGAAAGATTACATAGCCTTGGAAAAATGTGTAGTAAGCTGTTTGTTTTACACCTAACAACTTGCATTGCATTTTAGAGCTTGTTTTTAACTTGAATTTTAAAATCTGGTAGGCATGGTTCATGATAGATTTTGTTTCTTAATTTTTCATTCTGTTAGCCTTTACCAAGATGTTATAGGGTTATGCTGTAGAAAGTGTTGTCCCCTTAGAAACTTTGGAGATTTGAAAGGATTTCATCTGTGTTTGAATTTTGTGTTTTGAAGGCAGGGGTTCACCTTTACATGTACGCTATACCTTAGATGAAGGAGCCCTAATCATCAGTGAGATTCTGCTGTACTACAAATACATTTGAACCTAGTGGAAGGAAGGTGCTCTTCATAAACATAAACAAAATGAGGGAAAGATTCTTATTCCTGAAACAGTGTCTGAATTTCACACGTTTGTTTCCTGCTTGGTGTGGTATCAGCAGAAAATAAAAAAAGGAAAATTTTTTCCTCCTTAAGTAAGCATGTACTCAATTATTTTCGGGAAAGGAAAATGAAACGACTTTTTAAAAGTAAACGTGTGCTGAGTGTTTTCAACACTGTTGTTGAAAGCTTTGATGTTAGGCACTAGTATAGCCCCTTAATATAAAAATAGTTGTGATGATGGAGCACTCCTTTTTTTTCAGTACTGTTGAGCAGGCTTCTAGGCCATGTCAAAGAAATTTTAAACAAGCTGGGATGGAACTTTCTTGGTGTTACTTTCTAAAGTAACTAGTAAAGTTCTAAAATCTTCTGGTCTTCACTGAAATTTCTATACGCCAGCCCCTAAGAAAGCTTGTAGATAAGGTGCATCTCTTCTCTGAAAAAGGGGTAAAAAACTATTTACAAATAAATATACAATCTCTCACATAGCCAGCTCCATAGAAGTTGAGCTAATGCTGTAATTCAAGGTCTGTTTTTTCCTTGTCAAGTAATGTAAGTTCCTGACAGTGATAAAATATGGAAAAGGCAGGAATTTGGTTTCATGTTACAGGGGCTGTAAAGCAAGATTAAATGATAGTAGTGCTGCAATAGCCAGAGACCTTACTACAATCAGGAGCCAAATAGGGATAATTTAATTGTGCTACCCTTTCCAGAAGGCTGAACTTAAGTCAGCAGCATAAACTGTAGGTCGAAGTTTTGAGCCAACCCCAAATAAGACCTGAGATGCTAGTATAGCTTTTGGGGAGGGGTGTAGTAGCGTGGAGTCCTAACAGGTTTTTCTCAATTATTTTGATTAAAAGTATAAGGATTCATGAAATTCTACAGTGCAGCTTAAAAACAAGTTCCCCTTGGTAGTGGTGGCTGTTTCTGTCCTCCTGTGGTTTCCTGCTCTTGCTTGTCAGTGTAGTGCATTCTTTGTTCCTGAACCCCTGTGGATGAAGTCACACTTACGTGTGTGTACAGCACTGTAATAACCCAGCTAGTTAGAGTTGTAAAAATTCTAAGCTAGTTAGAGGGCAATTTGTAAAATATCAGTGCTTCTCTGATATTTTGGCTGTCTGAATTTGATCTTTTCAGGATTTGCCATGCAGCACACAGCTAGTCTGCATAACACGGGTCATAGAGCCTGTTAAAATCTGAATAATCAGATGGAATGTTTTACGTTATTAGCAACCTTTACCAAAGCACAAAAAACAGAACATGTGCACAGGAGCTTGATCTCTTGTCTTACTGTGACCATTTTTAGTGTATAAATTTAATTTGATGTTGAATGTCCACCCTTCTTATTGTAGGTGGAGATAAGCAAAGCTTATCCAACAGAGGAGGGGATTCAGATTGCTCATTGAGATCAGTACTCTAACCACGTCATTAACAGACCTTATGTCTTCCTGCAGGGTAGTCAAAATTAATTTTATGGTGGAAAAGTTGGAAGGGGCATGTGTAAGGGAGGCTAGTAGCATGTTCTGAAAAACCGAGGTTTTACAGAAGGAAGTCCAGAGATGCCGTGGTTTCAAAGGGAAAGGGAAGACAAACCTGGTTATCTGGAGTGTGTTGGTGTGGTGTTACTAATATGCCTCTTAACTTTTGCACCTTTTCTCGACTTCATACAGAGATACGAATTTTCTTTTTCAGCCCTTTTGTGGTTTTGACCCCATGATACTTCTGCCCAATACCCACTTTTCCTCTGCCCTTAAGTTTCTTCCCAATTTCACTTAGCAATCCAGGAAGGTTGGATTTTATGGAGTAGGAAAAGGGAGGGATGATGGTGAACTATTCAGGCAGCACATGGTCCTCAAATAGCTGGTTTCTGTCTCTGCACAGGGTCACGGCTGCGTCTTTCTGCATGTCCCCAGGCAGCCTGTTTCTCTACTAGTATCTTCCTGTTTTGTGTCTACTGCAGTCCTAACCTCCACTCCACTGCAATTAAACTAACAGTGTTGAATTTTATGCATGAAAACATTTGGATTCCAAGATACTGCTTCTGCAGGTGGTCCTCTGAAAAACTGGCCTCTTAGGCACTAACGAAATGATTTTTTTTTCCTGGGATTTATTTTGTGCTTTCTTGAGTGTTTCCTGATCGTGGTGTTTTTGGTGCTTGCTTTTAAAAATTGGCTGTATTGCTACCATATACATCTACAGTACTATTTGAAATCTTTGTGCTCCTGTAAACAACATTCTGGGCTATAATAAAATAATAATATTACAATAATACAATAAATTATATTATTATAATATATAATTGTAATATAATAATATAGTAAATAATAAAAGTCCATATTTTTTATATATATGCACAAGTGAGTTTATTTTCAAAAGCATGTGTGTAAGTGTACAGAAAAAAAGACGCCTTAATTTATTATTCTACCTCTTTTTGAAGGTGGAAAACTTGCTTATTAGTAACCAAGGGACGATCAAACTTTGTGACTTTGGTAGTGCTACAACTATAGCTTACTATCCTGACTACAACTGGTCTGCGCAGAAGAGAGCACTGGTTGAAGAAGAGGTGAGACTATTTTAATGTGATTAATCTTAATATCAACAGTGGATTCATTTAACTGTTACTATTAATCTGATATTGATTCATGGGCCTTCTAACACAACTGAAGATGGTTTCAGTTGTAGTGTTGTTCATAAGGCTTTGATTTTGTATTTGTGTTGCCAGAGTTCAAACACTGTCTCCAGTTATAATCATAGCTTGTGTTCTGTAGCTGCATATACAAACACTGCTTCAACTTGAGCAGTGTCCATTCTGCAATTCAGTGTGAAAATGGAAGTGATTACTAGAGCTTCTTCTAATTGCACTCTTAACAGGAAGTCAAAAATTGGTTATGCCAAAGTGATTCCCGCCTTCTCATCTGTTTTTTCTCAGTTGAATGATATATAAAGAAGTGGCAAGTCTGCTCAGCAGAATTTGAATAGGCAGTACGGCAGTGCCTCTAGGACTGCAGTAACAGTGTTAAGCATGCAGTATGTTTTTGCAAAGTGCATTTGTTCTTAGTTTAGAGTTGAGAGTAATGCTGGTAAATGTAATACATCAACTGGACTCAGACTTTTAAGTATGGAGAAATACAGTGACACTTAAAATACATGTGTGCAACTTATGATATTGTGAGTCTCTGTAAACTCCCCCTGTTTTGGAACCCAGCATCCTTGGAGAACAATCCATTGGTTTCTGGAGAAAAAAAGATGATGTACCACTGTCTTGTATAGTTTATGCAAAAAGATGGTAGAAAAGGTCTCTTCAGTGATCCTTGTGAACATAGCTTAACTCTTCGGATGCGTCTGCACTGTCATGAAGTGTGATGAGGAAGTGAGAAATACACACTGGAGCATGAATTCACTTCTTGGTTTATTGTTGATTTTCTGTATTTGTGTCCATATCCCTTTTTGCCTCATGTAGAAGAGTCACTTTAAGTGCTTTGTGGTTTGGAAGGACTCTTGAATATCACAATGTTATTTGAGTACTGCTGTCTTTATCCAGCCTTATATCAAAGCTGTTGTGACTATTGCAGGATTCAATTGATGGCTTCTGCTATTACCGAGTATTTCTGAAATTAATTTTTGTCCTGGTTTCGGCTGGGATAGAGTTAATTTTCTTCCCAGTAGCTGGTATAGCTGTGTTTTGGATTTAGTATGAGAATAATGTTGATAGCACACTGATGTTTTAGTTGTTGCTAAGTAGTGCTTACACTAGTCAAGGTCTTTTCAACTTCTCATGCCCTGCCAGTGAGAAGCTGGGAGGGGGCACAGCCAGGACAGCTGACCCAGACTGGCAAAAGGGGTATTCCATACCATGTGACGTCATGCTCAGTACATAAACTGGGGGGGGAGTTGGCCAGGGGGCAGCCATTGCTGTTCGGGAAGTGGCTGGGCATCAGTTGGCAGGTGGTGAGCAATTGCATTGTGCATCACTTGTTTTGTATATTCTATTATTATTATTAATAGGACAGAAAAGGAAGGCAAAATAATAAACTGTCTTTATCTCAACCCACAAACTTCACTTTTTTCTGATTCTCTCCCCCATCCCAGTGGGCAGGTGGGGAGTGTTTAGCTGTCTGCTGGGTTAAACCACAACAATTTTCAAAGTGAGCATGCTATCTGTTCTACATAGAGCTGTTTCCTTGGTTGAATGCTGTTAGAGCTTATTCAAGTTTCTGTTTCAAGAAATTCTGTCTCCTGCAGATCACAAGGAATACAACGCCAATGTACAGGACACCAGAAATGATAGACTTGTATTCAAACTTTCCGATTGGTGAAAAACAGGACATTTGGGTAAGAATTTTTTCTCTTCCTGTATCATAGCTGCTTATGTCAGTGAAACTGATTTTGCAGTCTTCATGTTAATTTGTTGATTAGATAAATAAAAGCACCAAAATAAACAGAGGATAGACTGTCTTATGTCAAAATAGTGTGAACTGTGTATCTAAATATTAAAAGAATGAGATGTAGTATTTGAGGTTTTCTCCCAGATTTATCTTGACTTCCACTCAGAGAGGCAATGCTGAACTTCTTTGACATTCAGTAGAACTGTTGCCTAGCTGGAGCTTGCCACCATAGAGCCAGAATGCTTACATGTAATCCTGAACGGCCTGTTGCTGAGTTCAAAATGGTTATGCCTAGGTATTGCATCTGGATAAAATACTGACAGATAGCAAGGAGGAGAATGATGCAGAGATCATTCACACTTTGTATAGAAAGGATGATAAACTGTTAACATTCACTAAAAAATCTGTAGCCAGAAGTAAAGGTAAATATTAAATCCTCAGTTGTGTAATACTGTAATAGTACTGAGGTACAGCCCAGTGACTTTGTGCTTAGGGACTTAGTTTATTGGATGTTTTTTAGAGGCAGATGTCAAGCTGTTCAGCTGTTACCTGTATTGGCAGTGTGACAAAAGACAAGTTGAGAAAATGTAATACTGGTGCTTTAAAAAGTTTTTATTTGGAATTCCAGAACTTCATTCAATTTCTTAAATTAGCTACAAGATATTATGGAAACTCTTATTCAGCTTCTACAGCTGTTGGCGATCTTCTGGGATGTGAAGAAATACCAAGAAAAATACTTTTTTTCTGACCATTTGGTCACTTCACATGAGTTAAATACTGGCAGTCTGAGCCAAGATTACATCTAGTTAAACACAAAGCTAGAAATGCATTTAACAAAAACCTCACTAAAAGGGCACTTCCAATTTATTTTTTGTTTAGGGTAACTCTGTATCCGTTAGTATTAACATGGTGGTTGTCTCCTGCTGTGTCTTTGGAAGTTCTGTTGCATTTTCCATGCCTTCGCTGGAACTTGTTGTTCTGTGTTTTTTCCTTTACTCTCTGCTTTCATTGAAAACACGTAAAGTATTTGGCAATAGAATATGGTGCTGACTCAGGAAGCATAACTGATCTTGTAGTTTGTGGTTAGGATAAACAAAACAGTTTTCCCAAGAAAGCAGGTAGGGTGAGTAACACTCACGATTGTGGTCTGTGTTCTTGTCACTGTGTGAGCTTAAAAGTTTAAAGGAGATAGAAATGTCTTACTTAGAACAGCAGCACAGATGAAACATTAGTTATCAACCACATCAACTCCACAATGGGAATGTGATTAGATATTGATTGTAAGATCAGAGGTTCTTAAGCTTGGCCAACTGCTTTCTGTACATTTCCTACCTAAGTCTAGATATCTTCAGGAAAAAAAACACTAAACTCAAATACCTTTAGTTCCTTTTTTCTGAATTAATCTGATTTCCTGAACTGAAATTCAACTGAATTCCACTGAAATGACAGGCTTTACCTTGTCATAAAGATTTTTCTCCACTGAAATTATCTTTTGGCTTGAAAGGCTCTTCATACATTCCCACTCTTATAAATTTCTGAAAAAGCAAGAGAGTGGGCTTTGGATATGTTTGTTAAGGAGCAAAATTTAAAAGTTGGATTCTCGTTACCAATATCTGGTAAAAAATTCTTCTGGTTAGTGCAAGACATCTTGCGGGTTTTAATTCTGTGTGAGCTGAATGATCTCTTTAGATTTCATGTAGTTTAATTCTATTCAGAAAGTACTTTGGTGTAATACCTGTGTGTCATCCTGCAGCTATACTGTAGACCTTGTCATCATTTTAAGTGTGCTGGCTTATTGCCTGAAGCTGGTCAGTGGAAAAATAACAGTATTTTGATTTGTTTCAAACAATTCCCCACCCTAAACACTACCACAACCCCACAAAAACCCCACTGTCCCCTTAAGGAGGGGTTAAATTAGCAGCTGGTAAAGGCCCAGCCACAGGTCAGAAAGTTATTCCTAGTTATTTTTGGTCACTTTGTCATGCTGCTTTTTCACCTGCTGGCACGTGAGTGCTCAGACTGATTCAGGCAGCTTCTGTAGAGGGACTGTGCAGCTTTGCGGCAACATCCTGGGGAAGTGGGCTCTTCTGTTAAGTGTATCGATACTGAGGCTATGTGGATGGTGTTGGCTTTGAGGAATTGCCTTGCTGCAACTGGAACTGCCTTTTAGCCAAATTGAATCACAACTGGTGTTTAAAATATTCAAAGTATATCACTGTTTCCCTCTGTTTTATCTGTAGTTTAGGATTGTAAAACACTCTCTAGCAATTTAAGCAAAGATCAAATCTGAGTGGTCTTTTCACTTCCTGTGCATTCAGCTGATTGCCTTTGTGCTTTTCTCCCCCATGTGGCTGTGGATGCTGTCTTCTGATGTGCATGGTGTTTTGGACTGTGCAGGGAGTAGTTCGGTTCCTCCAACTAAATTATGATCTGCCTTACTTCTTTGTAAACAGGCATTTCTGTGGCAGAGTAGGTGGTATTTCCTGTACTCCCCTGCTGGATTAATTAATGTGGACTATATGATGCTTCAGTATATATTACAGACAGCTTTTTATCAACAGACTGACAAATACGTACTTGCTGCACAATAATACAGAATTAATATATGCAGTTTATTTCTGGCCCTGGATTGAGAAACTCAGTAAGTGTTTTGGAGTAACTAAATCGCAAACCTTTGAGTCTTTAACATTCAAATCTTTGCAACTGTTCTTGGGATAAATTGACAACCAAGGACAGTTAGAAGTGGTGCATGCAGAGGACTGGAGGCAGTGAGCAGATTTCTTAGCTGATGTCTTCATTGGCTTGTTTTATTTGTGGGGGCTATAAAAGCCCGTATGCTCAAGCAACTAAGGTGGGGTTCAGAAGAAACTTTGAGGAGGAATTTTCCAGTCTGTTGTACAAACATTTTCTCGGAGGTATTGGATGCTTTATTATTAAACTTTTATAGGCCAGATGGAACATGGTTCTATTAAAATAGTATAACTCTGCCAGTATATTTCATATGTTAACTATATGAAAATATAACTCTGCCAGTATATTTCATATGTTAACTTATATGAAAATATATATATCAACTGACATGTTTGGGCACAACAAGGAACTTGAAAGTTCCCAGGATGTGGTAGTCCTGGTTTTGTGATTTTTGAGGCTTGAATGAACTTGTCTGAAAATGATCTTAAATTTTATTTGTTATAAGAATTGAATAGCCTTCTGATTGTAGGAAATAAAGGGACCATCATTTCAGGCTTATTTTCTTCAGATTTTTATCAAAACAAGTGTTTTAGAGGTGATGATGTGTCCCCCTAGTGTCATTTAAACAAATTGATTAACACTGAAATGCTTACCTAGCTGGTGCATTGCATAACAGAATGTATCTGAGTTAGAAATACAAAAGACCAAATTCTGTCCCCGCAAATAAAATGAGTCTAAAAATGGATTTATTGTAATGATTTTTAAAAAGACAGGAATAGGAGAATGCCTGAACCTGAAAACTTCCATGAAAGCAAAAAAAAACCCACAAACTTGTTTAGTAGCAGTATTGCTGCTTGGAGCTCTCTAACTGACATGCCAAACAAATGAATGTTTCACTAAGTGTTCTGTCCTCAGAGAAATATCAAGACTAATTATTTATAAAGGAGTGTGAAGCTGATCTCTAAAGTACTGGGAATATATATATATAAAGTTGCATGAATCAGCAGTTGACAATTGAAACTTGCGATTTGCAAGCAGTATTAGGAAGCTTAATCAATTTCATAGTCTAAAATTCTGCTTTAAATATCATTGCCTGAATTAAAGACAGCACAAACAAGAAGAACCAGCCAATGAGTTCATGAATCAGAAAATATGTATTTATAAACTTTTTTCATTCTGTGATAAGTTTCACACAAAGAAGGTGGGTGCTGCAGAGCTCCTTTTTTCCACGGCTATGGTGACCTTCCAGCTTCCTGTAGGACCACGATCTATCACAGGATATGAGATAAGGTGTAGAGGTGTTTCTTCATTCTTGGGTCAATATCCTTGTATAAAGTTGCAACACTTGTTGCTGAGTGGCAGAGGAGGAAGAGGACAGAATTGTGCCATGATCTGCTCATGTTCCTGTCTGGGGCTGCAGCTGTCAAAGACAGGAGAACCATCAACTGAAGCAGCCACCCTCTTTTTCCACAGGCAGCCCCTGCCTCCCGGCCTGGGGCTTTCCTAGCCTCACACCAAGGTTGTCCATTCTATGCCTCCCTGAAGGCCAGGAGACACCCATCCTGGGCCAAAAATGCTGGCCACCACCAGCGTTCTGCCCACTGATGTGGCCACTAATCGCTAGGGCCAGGAGCTCAGTCCCAGTGAAAAAGGGCACAGCTCCCTCTGCCCATGGCTTTGGGGAGCTTCCAGCTCCCTGTAAGATCACCATGGCGCAGGGGTTGGTATTATCTTATCTGTCCTGTAGACTGTTGGCAACTCTCCAGCTCAGTGGCAGAGGAGGAAGAAGACAGGAGTGTGCTGTGATCTGGTTGTTTCCCTGTCTGGATGTCCAACTGTAGTACAAAGCAGCCATGCTCCATCATCATGGGCAGCCCCTGCCTCTGTGCCCTCTCCTCCCTGCCCTTGCTCGCCTGGCTGCTCATCTGCCAGCCTGGGCTGGCACAACCCTTTTTATACCCATCCTGGGTTGGTGGTGTCATCAACTGCCACTGTCAGTGTTCTACCTGCTGTGACACCACCATGACATCTGTGTACTGTTCACTGGATAAAAAACCAGCTGGATGGCTCATCCCAAAGAATAGTGATGAATGGAGTTAAATCCAGTTGGTGGCTGGTCACAAGTGGATCAGCATTGGGGCCATTCTGTTCAATATCTTTATCAATGATCTGGATGGAGGATCAAGTGCCCACCCTCAGTAAGTTTGCAGATGACACCAAGTTGGGCAGGAGTGTTGATCTGCTTGAGGGCAGGAAGGCTCTACAGAGGGATCTGGACAGGCTGGAATGACAGGCCAAGGCCAACTGTATGAGTTTCAACAAGGCCATGTGCTGGGTCCTGCACCTGTGTCATAACACTGTGCAATGCTACAGGCCTGGGGAAGAGTGGCTGGAAAGCTGCCTGGTGGAAAAGGAGCTGGGGGTGTTGGTTGACAGCTGGCTGAATATGAGCCGGCAGTGTGCCCAGGTGGCCAAGAAGGCCAATGGCATCCTGGCCTGTATCAGAAATAGTGTGGCCAGCAGGACCAGGGAAGTTATTGTCCCTCTGTACTTGGCCCTGCTGAGACTGCACCTTGAATACTGTGCACAAGTTTTACGAGGAGCGGCTGAGGGAACTGGGGTTGTTTAGCCTAGAGAAAAGGAGGCTGAGGGGAGACCTTATTGCTCTCTACAACTACCTGAAGGAAGGTTGTAGTGAGGTGGGTGTTGGTCTCTTCTCCCAAGTAACAAGCGATAGGACGAGAGGAAATGGCCTCAAGTTGCGCCAGGGGAGGTTTAGATTGGACATTAGGAAAAATTCCTTCACGAGAAGGGTTATCAAGCATTGGAAGAGGCTGCCCAGGGAAGTGGTTGAGTCACTGTCCCTGGAGGTATTTAAAAGATGTGTTGCGCTTAGGGACATGGTCTGGTGGTGGACTTGGCAGTGTTAGGTTAATGGTTGAACTTGATGATCTTAAGGGTCTTTTCCAGCCTAAATGATTCCATGATTCTATGAAATATTTCTGCCTTTATCTCTTTGTAGGCTCTGGGCTGTATCCTGTACTTGCTGTGCTTTAGGCAACATCCATTTGAAGATGGAGCTAAACTTCGCATAGTTAATGGAAAATATGTCATCCCACAAAATGATACCCGCTATTCTGTGTTTCATGATCTGATTCGTAAGTTTACAATATTACTTAATTTGGTGTCTTTATGGATACATCTTATTATTGACAGTGTTGTATTACTGATATTAAATGTTATTGAGATGTGATGGTGAAAAAGGTTAACTGCAACAACTACTTGTTTTATTAAAAATTTTAATCCATTATCAAAAAACTTGGAAATTTTAAATGAAACTTTAGGTTTTTATTGCTGTTGCCTGTCTTGCTTAGGGTCTGAATTAGTCCATAGGACCAACTAGTGTTTTGATTTGGTTTCTTAGAATTTCTAAAGCAAATTAAATTTTCTTTAAATTTTAAATAGATTACTGGAAACTTTAATTACAGTGCCAGAAATATGTCTCCAACTCCAAGAGTATTAGATATAAAGTTACTTCTGAGGTTATTCATTAACTGATCCTAAAGTATATTCTTTGAAATATTCTTAACCCTAAATGGTGGCTTTTTCATGGATACCTGTTATAACAATGATACCTGGATATGGATTTAGCAGTTACTCCACTTTGTTCACGTGTTTGATTATTGCACTGGAGAGCACTGAAGAAATTACTAATCTCTGCTGGGAGAAAAGCTCTGAAGGGTGTCTGTTACATTGTCTGAATCTCCTTTTTTAGGCTCCACTTTGAAGGTGAACCCAGAAGAGAGACTGTCAATCACTGAACTTGTAAATCAACTGCAGGAGATTGCAGCAGCTAGGAATGTGAATCCTAAATCCCCCATCACAGAGGTAAAGATGTCTCATAAGGACTATTTATCAATTAGGTCTCCTTTCTCTCCTTTCTTATCCAGTGAGTGTGAGTTTAGTAACAGATGTCAGAGCAGTTCCTTAGTCTTGTGAAAATTTCACACTTACTTGTTTTGAAATTCAATTGAATTGATCTGTATCACTTGTAGGATCTTGAAAATATGCCTTTTAAAGCACAGAGCTTGCATGACATTAAAGGAAACTAGTTGTAGTTCTTGCTGCTTGTTGAAAAACTTCTCATGATCTTGGGTCATTCTTTAGTACGCAAGTGCTCTGTTTGACATGCTGCATTTACTTGCATCATTAACTTGCACAGAAGAATCTGGTATACAAAGGCTCTGCCTACACTGACTTGAAACCCACTTAGGTCTCTGTTCAATGCTTAATTTGCACAATACTGCAAGTGAATCAAATAGTGTATCTTAACTTCCTGTCTTTCTTCTGAGGTTCAGCTTGCTGCTTCTCAGCAAGTAAAAGTAATTTACAAAGTGTAAAAAGTTGGCTAAACTGGCAAGAAAATACTCACACTGAGTGTTTAATCTCCTCAGCTCCTGGAACAAAATGGAGGCTATGGAAACAGTGCTCAGCCTCGGACATCTGTGACCTCCATTTCACAGAGCTCCAAGCCTGCAGGACAGCTCAACAATATGTACAATGCAGGTAAGTGCAGAAAGAGACATCATCTTAGTGTAAAACCAGTTGCATATTTTATATGTGAAAAAAATCATTTGGAGGTTTTAGACATTTTGCACAAGTACTAGCTATTTTGCATTTATATCATTGTTTCTAACCTTGTTTTATTTTTCGCAGAGTTTGGTTGTATGTTGATACATGCAAATGTGAATTTCTCAAGTTCATTGCTTGAGAAATTGGCCAAGATAAAATTCAGTTTCCTGTGTAAAATAATTGAAACTAAAATGCATTATTGACCTGTGGAGGCGGGAGAGTTGAAATAAGTGAACTAAAACTTGATGAAAATGGTGGATACAATAAGCAATAATGTTCTCAAGAACAAGAGCTGTAGAGAAAGTGGTCTTCAGGTGATGACAAATGAATAAGAATGGCTTATTTTAAACCCAAAACTTTCCGATTCAATGAGGCAATGATATTTGAAAGTGTCTTGTGTAAAGAGGAGTTTAAACTGTTAAATCTTCTCAGAAGTGTGCTGTATTTTATCTGAAACCTTGTTACTTTGTAGCAGAAGTTACTGAAATCAGTACATATCCTGAGTTTGTGCACAGTATTGGATCTTTGGTGTAAGAAAGTGACAGTTGTCTTTGCTTTCCAAGAAGAACTACTTAACATCAGATATGTTACAACTTAAAGATAGCAGCCATTCTGTGGCTTTTGGTGTAACTTTATGCTAAAATGGGCTTGTTGGTGTCTAATCATTGAGGTAGTCCAATAAAGAAACGCAGAAGCAATTGCAGGGATTTTGACTATGGACCACAGTAGTTCATTAATGCTAAGGAGTCACTGACCTGACGTATTTATTTTAGCCTGCGAAAAGCCTGTATGAGGAAGAAATACTTCGGTAAGCATCTGGCATCCACCTCTCCCTCCTCCTCTCCCCCTCCAAAAATCTTTTGACCCCCCGAGATAGTTTGAAGCGCATCTGACAGTGATCATAGTCGAAAGCTATTTAGTTTTGTCACTTCCAAAAGACTCATGTCTGACAGCCTCAAGGGGAAAAAGCAGCAGCCTAAACTCAGTTTACTGGCTATCCAGCCAGTACTTTCAGAAATAGCCATTGAGTCCAGCTAATTATGGGAGGATTGGGCAGGGAGGAGTTCAGGAGGTGGTTGCACCATAGGACATCAATGATGAGGAGAAGGAGTTGTGGTACCATCTGAGGAAAAACAGTAGTTGGACTATCAGTACTAAATTGAGTCAACCAAAATGTGTGTCCAAAATGACACAATTAAAAGCTGACATACCCATTCTGTAAAAAAAAAAAGATATTCCAGAGTTCATTCAGTTGAAAATGCTTGCACTTAATATAGTAAAGAAAATGAGAAGCTTGATAGGCTTATTTGCATCTAATTTCTTATTCAAAGGCAATTTCTGCACCCATCTTATCATATATCATATGTGAATATGGAACATTTCAATTAATGTAGAAGATATCAAGAATATTTCACACACTATTCAATTTTTCTCAATTTTTCTTCCAGATTCATATTTCTTGCTTGATATTACTTATGCTGAATTGCCAATGAGACAAAGGGTATTAATGTTCCAGGGAAACTTCTAAAATTGTAAATATTTATTGCAGTAATTTTATCTGTATATCAATTTCTGTGGAAGAAGACAGTTCCTAATAGGGATTATAATCAAAAGGCTGCCTGGCCATCTATTTTGTTCAAGAATGAGTACTGTTTGTTGTATACAATCATATTAATAGGGAAGTTTTGCTGGGATGCTGTACTAGCTGGGATGTTGTGCTTAGAAAGTAACTTAATTATGCCAGCTGCTTTTGAAGACCTGCATTAAAATGTCTCTACTGGAGGTGCTTAAGTAGATTTGCTAATGATAGCTGCACTGAGACTGATAGTAAAAAAAGACAGTATTTTGCTGCACTGGCAATATGAAATAAATGCTTTACTTTCAGAAATTTTGTACCTTGTTTTCTCTTAAATGCAAACAGTCTAAACAATGTGTTAAGTAGTTTGCTAGTACCTCCTGACCGCAGGAAGTACTATTTTTTGCATACGTCATAGTTAAGGAGAACTTTAGAACTGTGAGCCTTACAGCAAGGCGTAGCCTGTATGTGCATTCACTTCCAGCTTTGTAGGCAACTTGCTTTAGTATGGAGCCCATTCCAGGATATGACTTAAAGTACAATTATTTTTATTCGACTACTCTAGGCCTGACCGTTGCGGAATGTGACCAGACTTATGGAGGGTTCTTTGATATTCTGAGGGGTGGAACAGAGCGATTTTTCACTAATATTAAGGATACATCTTCTAAAGTTATCCAGTCTGTGGCCAAGTGAGTAAAAAAAAAAAAATTGTGCTGGTAAGAGTTCTAAATGAAGGGTCAGGACCTTACTCCAGAAATTATCAAATTCAGCATACTTTTCCAAGTATGAGCTCTAATAGCTGGTAGCTAACTCTAAGATTTTATGAATGATATTAATACAAATGTTACTTTAGCAATCATACTAGAAATGAGAATGTTGGGAGCAAAAGCCTGTCCATAAGTACTACTTTCCCTGCTATATTTTAGGTACTGAAAGCTTGGGAGAGATGAGCAGGTTGGGGCTGGAGCAAGGTGGAGAGTTATGGAATAGGACTATCATGGTTCAGAATGAATGAATTCAGTTAGTAGATAGGGCCTCCGTGAAGAAGGAAGAAGAAAAGATGGAGTGGTGGAAGGAACAAATAAAGGGAATGGAGGTGAGAAGAAAAACAGTGGGGAAATAGTGTATGAGCTCTTCTGTTCAGTTTAGTTTTCAGGTGGAATCTTACGCCCTCAAGGCAAAGTGAGAGGATCTGCACTGTTTGTCTCTTTTGCCCTACATTACATGGAAGAATACTCTCCTGTTTTGATATATGTGTTCTCAGATGCCTAGTGTGTGATTATTTTTTCTAATCAGATTTTCAGTCCCATTCAAAATGTTTCTAGTACCTCTATATGATCAATATTAATCAATCTGTATGATTCATACATTTTTAACTCATAATAAAATTTTATGCAGTGTAAAAGTTTGTTCTTAATTCTAGGAAGAGCAGGTAAGTCACTACTGAATACCATGACTGAACTACAGCCTCCTAAGGACTACTGAACATTGTCCCTCACTGTAGGGTTTGTGGCCCTTTAATTGGGATACTGCGCAATGGCTTGTGAATTCTATTGCTTGCAACATGTTCTTCTGTCACTGAGTGTAATTTGTGTGTAGTGCTGCTCTAAAATGTTTGTAATGACCAGATAAGTTAGATTTGTAGATCTTGCACCTCTGTAGCCACTGCAAGTGCATTTTTAGCTGTTTGCTCTTACACTTAGTCTGTTTAAACTTCCTATGTGTGGCTTAGAAAGGCCAGGTCCTCTATTTCTCAAAGGTCGCAAAAGCTATGCAGCTTTGGTTTGTCCTTAAGCTTTCTACAGAAGCAATTGGCACAGTAGCATCAAACTTTTCGCCCTGGGGAAACCACACTGACTCAAGACAGGGAGGTATACAAGGGGTATGAACTGTTGCATGATGAAAAGCGCTGACTTGTTAGCAGCTCAGCAGAACTCTAGGAATTCCATGTATGAAGCAACATGATGAGCTACAACTTTTAAGCAACTGTTCTCCATTTTATTTCTTCAGCATGTGCTGTCTTGCAGGCCTCTTATTTATCTCCTTGTACCTGCTACCTTCTGTGGAACTGATCTTCCTCTCCCCTCCTCTTCAGTGCTACTTCTGTTCCTTTTGTGGTATCTTGTTAAAGGAAATTTACTGTGTGGTAAAACATGGAAATGTTCTGCAGATTCCTTGCCTTTGACAGCTGTACTATTTATAAACTCAAAGGTACTTAATTCCTTGTCTTAAATTCTGCCAGTTTTGCTTAGATTTGTCTTGCAGTGGAGAAATTACTTTTCTTCCTTTGTGACAGATAACAGTTAAATTCTTTTCTACCTTTGACAAAGTTATAAGCCCTACTTTCCCATGCCTGTGCTCCTGTATTAGATCTTACTCTGATACTATATTTTGATTGTACACTACATGCTTCTGAAGTACTCCTGCACTTCACTTTTTTGTGCTCTTGTCTCCATGTGACTTTCTGAATTATTGTGCCTCCATCAGTCAGTTATGTTTGAAGAAGTTTCCTCTTCCTGCTCTTGCAAGCAATTTCTTCCTTAAAGGCCACTGGAAGTTTAATTACTTTTTTAATTTCATCTTGTGCCATTTTCCCCTTTTCTAGTGGTGGATTAGGACTGTCTAAAATTGACTTTTTAGTATGGCATGGCTTATGCTGTGCCTGCACCTTATTTTTATTTCTCTTACCTAACAGGTGAGTGTGGCTTTTTGCTTTGTGTGATTTCCTTTGGTTCCATAATAAGTGTAGTGTGCAAGGAATAAAACAGTAACTGTACATCCAGCCGCATCTGCAGAGCTCATTTGGCAGCTTCTGAAGTATAGGACAGTTGAGTACTTGCTGTCTGAAAAGATGCTGTTTAGTTCACATGCTTTTCTCTACAATTGTTTTAGATTATGGTGACTGCCCAAAATAAGTCTTGCATCTATCCCATTCTTAGAGTTACTATTCTACATCTGAATTGCTAGTTAGCGTTCTGTGGCTGACTATATGCTTTGCACTTTAGTTAGAATCCCATTTTTGACAAAAATGGGAAAGTATGATTGAGATGGAACTTGAGGCTCTCGAGTCCTGCACAGAGCCCCATGGCAGGATCATTTATGCCTTAAATTTATGTGAGACATAAGGAACTGTTGGAATTCCCTAAACTGCTTCAAACCTTATCTGGCATGACTTTGTGGTGGTGTTTAAGCCTTTGTCAGGAATGTGAGTGCTGTTGGAGACATTTTAGTGCATGTCTTGTGGAACTTACTAAGTATTAGTCAAAGAAAAGCTCTTTACTTTTATGTGTTATTTGTATTAATTACAGAAGGTCACATGTGGGTATTTACTAGAATTGAGTAGCTTGTGAATGTAGTTGTTTGACCTGGTTTTGGTTTGCTTTTGGTCATTGGGTTGAGGAGTGAAAGAAAAGGAGGGAATGCTCCAAGTACATAATTATGCTAGTGAGAACCAGTTACTTTAATACTTATTTTCCAGATAATTTTTAATCAATACTGAAAGAGAAACTCTTTCCCCTTGTAATTTGTCAATATTCTTTAGTGTCCCTTAGTGCTGTAATTTTCATTCCTTGATAAGTCTCGTGTATTTTGAACCTTAACTGTGTTTAACAGTTCACTGAAATGGCAAAACATGAATTAATGTGAGCAATACTTTGTAATGCAGGACCTAAGGTAGTCTCAGGTTCTTTAGTATTTAACATTCTTAGCATTTAACATTGACTGTGCTGCTGAGAGTCCCACCACTGGGCTTGTGCATTCTTAAACTATTTATGCTTTAATGAAGCTGAAGTGTTAATTCTTTGTTTGCATCTACTATAGGACATATCTGTTTCTGTCATGGTCATTCTCTGCCTTTACAAACTTGTTTCCCCCCCCCAGCCGATACCATCAGGGATGTGAGAATACCTCTTCCACTGTTGCATCCTTGACTGCCTTTCCAAAACTCTTCAACCAACATGAGAAGCAGACATTCTGGACAAACTAAAATGTCTCTTCCTTGTCGTGCATTTTCCTCACTTAAGCACTCCTCGTGTTGGAGTCTGTCATCTCATTAGGTAGGCTCTCTCCTTCCTACTTATTGTTTTCTGAATTGTGGAGTTATTTCCTTTATCTGCAGATAGACTTCTTTCTCACTGAATCTAAACTACAGTGGAAGAGTTAGTGTTTTGTAGTTGCTACAAAAAAGTTAATTTTTTTCTTCACTCCCATAGCTGCCTTTATGTTAATTCAAATTTTGGTCTCTTATTTATCCTAATAAGTGATAAAGTCTGAAAACTAAAACACATGTCACAGGCTACTAGGAACAGGAGAGTGAATGAGGGCCATCTTGATTGTCCCCCAGGCCACCTCACTTGCAGGTGTTGCAATCTCAGTTGGAGATTCGGGTCAGACAGAAGCAGTTTATAGCTACATGAGAGAGAACACATAGCAACAGAGGTTCAGCCCTCCATTGATACAAACTGACCTAAAAGAAAGTACTAGGGTATATACACATTTAGAGCAGATATGCACTGCTCTGTGAAGGGGCCTGATGCAGCAGAGGAGTGTCTGCATAGAAGGGAACTTTGTTCGAGCAGACGTACCCATGTCTGCCTGATAACTTAGTCTGCAGCTGTGTGGCCTCAATATACCTCTGTTCAGCTTGTCCATCTCTTGTGTGTGATGCTGCTGTGCCCCCAACCAGCTTTTATGCTTACTGAGGTCTGCATCCACACAGGTTACAGATGCCCTGCCAAAAAACATATATAAATGTTTTAAGTATCCAGTCTTCCCTGGATTGAAAGCAGCATGCAAAACTTACGATCAGTCTTGTTTTGCTTTGTCAGAACAGTCTCTTTGACTGAAGAGATTATGATCTAGTAATCTAGGGAACAATTAACTGCCTTTTATTGCTAGCTTTCTTTGCTTCTAAAGTAATTTTAATGCAGAGAACCAGACACAAGGTTTTATTTCATGGATCTTCGTGTTGCACTAGGTAGTTGAATGATTAATTCAGTTTTATGAAGCAAAACCAAGTGGGAACAGATTGATGTGAATTTCAGTGCTGCATTTCTTCCTGTTTTTTAAAAAATAAACTGCAAAAATGGTGGTGCTTAGCTAATGAATAGATGTTTTTCTACTCTTATGAGTGTAGAGATGTCTGGAGGAAGATTGCTTAGTGTTAAAGCATTATTTAACTGAAGATAATGGTTTGCGTGCTCACATTGTAGCTGTGCTGGTTAGTGCTTTCCCATCAGCTGTTAGTAACACAAGGTAACTACGCACTGTTGAAGTTTGTGCTGTATGCTAACTAGTTTATTTTGTGAATTTAATTGTTAATTTTAATTGTTTTTAACTTAATTTGCTCTTCTGTTTAATATTAGTTATGGTCTTTAATCTTTAACATCTAATTAAAACTTCCTATTTTGTTTAGGTATTTATTCAGCAAAATGAGAATTCATATCTCATTTGCTGTATTTCCCACTAGACTTCTCACTAAAAAGCCTTGAAGTAGCCTGGTATCATCAGAAAAGTGACTTAAATATTGGTGTCATAAATACTTTCCTGTTTAGCTTAATTAGAGCCTTAAAAAGCACACTGAGTTTTCCATATGGATCACAAGCCAGAAATCCTCCATGCAGTCTCTTGATTTGTTTGCATGATGTTCTACTCTTATCACCTGCCAGCAACATCGCTATGTATATGAAATTTCTGCTGTTAATAACATGAAAGGAAAGACCTTATTCCTGATGTTTAGTTACAGGGTTATATCTTGAAATGTGTAGGAATGTTTACCAGTATGAAGAATATTCATTTTTTCACCTTCCTGCCATTTAAAGCAATCTCAGTTGCCAGTCTGAAATGAAACACTCCACTAAAAACAGAGTACCTTGTATTCAAGTCTTACTGCTGAGTTAGCTCTGAAATCTTCAGAATAAAGTTCAAGGAATAGTAATTCAAGGACAAGGTCACATGTTTTAGGAGAGACTTGTGTTCGTTTTGCAGTTTAGCAGCTACATTTTAATTAAGACAGCACAAAGATTCTGAAGCTTTTTCAGTTGTAGCAGGCATACAGATTTTTTCCTGCAAGACAGCAAGCTTGAGCTGGCTGTGCTCTGTTGTTGACATACCAAGCTGTACTTTTTCAGCAGTGTGTGTATGGTGAGATCCATGCTCTTAATAATGTTGCATTTTAATTTAGACAAATGTAAAAAGCAAAGCTGAATTGAGTGGTGTTGCTAGTAAGAAGTCAATATCTGACAGTGTTCCCAAAGGAATGGGTGTGAGGACTGTTGGTTTTTTGCTTTTAATAGGTCTGTGCTTCTGTTTCAAGTTGCTGCTTAACCTCAGTGTTATAGCATTGAAGAGATAATGCTTCTGTGTTCTCAGACTATCGTATTAGGTCGTTCTTTATCTTGATATCAAAAAAAGTTGATATCATTAGAATAATCTGTATGTTTTCTTGCTTGAAGTTGGTAGGTGTAAGCAACAAGTAACACTTGATACTTCTCGGTGATAAATAGTGTTTGTTTGTTTGGCCATTTTGTCTACCTCCTTATGCAAGATTTTTCAAGGCTGAGGTTTTTTTTAGTGCTTTGTCCAGTGAGACTCTCAAACTTCCTTGTGGTGATTTCAATTTCTCTGGAGACCTTGCGTCATTATTGTTAGGACACTGTTTATGCCGTTCCATTTAAATACTCTTTAATGTCCTTGCTTTCAGAACAGTTGTTCTTGCCTTATCTAAAGTCCTTCTCCCAATCCTTGTAAACTCAATCTTTTAATCAGTCCCTCCAGCCTCCATGATTACTAGCAAGCAGTAAGGAATCGAAGCATAATGTTCTCTCTTGATGTTTCAAAATTTGAGTGCAGTGTCCTAGGTCTGCTCTTTCAAGCAGTATCCTGAAACTTTATAATCACAGAAAAGCATTGCTTTGATAGTGTCTCTGCATTCCTCAAACATGCATTATAGTGTTGTGATGACATTTTGATATTCTGGAGATGATATGCTACTGACTTAAGTTAGGGATGTCTAAACCAAATTCTGTAGGTGAGGTTTGTTATTTTGCTAATCAGGAGTGCAGACCTATGTGATTATACTCAGGGGTGTTGGCCTGTGCCAATACACAGTCTTCAGTCTTTTTTTAAGCTTTTTCATCCTGCTACATAGCAGGTACCCTAGAAACAAAAAAATAGTGGTCTTACATTATGCCAATAATTTACTATTTTAAGTGATTAGGTAGAGATGAAGGGAATGGAACTAAATAAAAAATCACTGGGAGATTATTTTTCAAAAAGGCTGCTCTTTAAAACTGTGCACAACTATATGAGAAAGAGATGAGTAATGATTAATACCTTGCTCACTATGGGAGTTTTGGAAGTGAATTTTTGGAGGAATGATTTAAATGAAGGAGATTCAGGTACCCTCTATTCATACGGAATCCAGAAATTGGGCAGCATGGCCATCTGGGCCAGATAGTAACAAGCCAGAGTTGCATCATTTAAAATGTAATGTGTCAACAAATGGTTTTTGTTTTAAGCATTATAATGTCCTCCATTACAGATGTTAATGCGTCCTCATTAGGCTTTCAAACTGATGCCTACAATGAATGTTTATCAGTAAGAGCAGGGGCTAGAGGAATGAGTTAAACATTGAAGGCAACTCTACAGAATCCTCAGAAATAGTTTTGTTGCAACTGCTGTAAATGAGTGACTGTTCAAATACAATGTCTATTCAAAAAACCTTGAAGTGTGAGGTAACAAGCCTCAAATGGAAGAAATGAAACACTATTCATGGTGGTGGGTGTAGCCTGAGAGACCTGGGTTTTAGACTTGTGGCTTGAATGGTTCTATTTCCCAGTATTAACTCCAATGTGTTCTGTTTCAGTTATGCAAAAGGAGACTTGGATATATCATACATCACTTCCAGAATTGCTGGTATGATATAGCTAGTCTTAAGAATAATTTCTGATTGTTCTTAATAGATGAAAAAAGTGAATACTTCACCTGGTGTTTATTGTTCTGTCTTCAGTGATGTCCTTTCCAGCTGAAGGTGTAGAATCTGCCATCAAAAATAACATAGAAGATGTGCGGTTATGTCTGGACTCTAAACATCCTGGCCACTATGCTGTGTACAATCTCTCTCCAAGAACATACAGGTCTTCAAGATTCCATAATAGGGTGTGTATATTTTTTGCATATTTCTTCAAGAGGCCTTTCAACACAATGTCTTGATTATATCTTCAGCTTTTTATTGTGAAATATGTGAAAGTAAGCTGCATAATCAAAAAGATCACAAAAGAATAAGTATAAACATAAGGTCAAAGAGTAACCTATATTTTGCTTGTCTTTGCTTTCAATCCAAACTTGTCTGATTAAAGACTAATCTTTAATCTTACTGACTAAAGCTGTTTCCTAGGCTAGTGATATCTTTGAAAACATGTACAGGTACCTTACATGTTTCAGATTTAAACAGAGAATACTTAGCATAATTGAAAATCTTACTAAAATTTCAATCTTTCCTACATTCAGAGGTTTTCCTTGATCAAAAGTAGTACTCCTTTGGTGATGGATTTGCACAACCTGTTTACTGGACTTTCTCCTTGTCCCACTACATACCATCTGACTCCCATATGGCTCAGCCCTAGCTGACTGCTTGTTGCTACTGCCTGAAATACTGGTATAGCTTAGCTGAGCCTCTGTTAGCCTTTCTGGCTATTTCTCTGATACTAAAATGAAGACATTTGCCTAATTCAGTAACAAGGTAGTGAGAACAGCTTCTTAGGTGCTGAGATACTGGACTTCAGTGTCTGCTCCTAAATACATCTCAACTGTCCTGTAAGTAGCTCAACAGTGGAGACTGTTGCTATGTTGTGAGTTGTCTAGCACTGGCCGTGTTGTATTTCACCTAAACAGTCTGTAGTAATCATGCCCTTTCCCCACAATATTGACTGCCCAGAGGAGAGTCTAGAAGCATTACTTATTACAGGAAACCCCTTTTGGGCCTAATCCTGCAGAGCCATCCTTAGCATTACTTCAGTTATCCAAGTTCACTTATACTGTCAGGCTGAAGTATGGTTTAATGTATTCTATCTAGTGCTTGTCACTTCCTTTTGTTTCCTTGTAAATTTATGGACAAGACAAAGTATTGTCACACCTGAAAAAAAATGATTACTGCCTCTGGGTGGAGGCAGTCAACTTCTTTATCTGCATCTGGTTCAGTATGAGGTTCAGGCAGAGGCTGTTCAACATGGAAGGCAAAGCTTAATCATGCAGGAAAAGTCCTGCATGATAATTTGGAATAGGTACCTCAAAGCAAAATCTTCAGCAATGCTTTTTAGCACTAGATTGCTGGAAAGTCCACTGAGGCTGACATAGTGAACGGATTTATTCCTCATCCTACAAAACTATCAACCTCTGTTTATGGAATGATAAATTCTGTGACTGGGAAATTGTTCACCCTGGGAATGGTTTTTTGGTTATGCAAGTATGAGGTGCCTATACATTGATATTCCTGATGTATTGGTTCTGTGAACGGTAAATACGAGCACAGCTAAATCTACTAATGATCTGGAACTCTTCTGGTCTACCTTTCTTTTTGATGTTCATTTTGTCTTACGATCTTTGTTTTGCTGGGAAGTAATAGTAGATCAAAACTTGTCAAAACATTGTAGGTTCCTGCCCACTTTATTGGCTGGGAGTATTTAGGAAGTTTCTACAAAACATTGTCTTCTGTTTAAAAACAAAAAAATGCAGCTATTTTACTTGGAAAACAAACTCTTTAAATATATTGGGGAAATTTTCCCTGTCTGTTTTTGAAGTCCAGATGCACAATGAGCAGTACTGACTGAATTCATTATTCAGTGCTGGGTGAGAGGAGCCATGTAGGAAGCTAAGGAAGCTTAGTTTGTCTTTAGTGCCTGCGAAAGATGATTATGGCAAGCCTTAAACTTGATCAGAGGAGAACAGCTTCTGAATTTCTTAATTCTGACACTTCGCTTAGTAGGTATTTATGAAATCATATATTCTTGCTTTCTGGCTGTATTCTATCTGTATGGAACTTCTACAAATTTCTTTAACCTTGGTTAAAGTTAGTGGTAGTTTTGAAGTCTTCTCTGCTAGTTTTGAGTCTTACTTGGAATAGGTTGCTCAGGGAGGTTGCGCCCTCTCCATCATTCTGCTAATGATCAGGAACGTTTTGAGCTTAAAACATAGCAAAGGAAAAGAAGGTAATGTTGTATGGTATACCTCTTGTAACAAAACTAGTGTTTGAGCAGAAAGTAAATGGTAAATCAGAAAAAAGTCAGTTCTTTTTGCTTTTTTGAATACACCCGCTTTTCTAGACTGTTTTCTGGTTTGTAGCTGTAATGCTGCAATATGGTTCTTTCACTGCTATTGTAATATGAGGCGTAGTAAAGCCCACATTGAATCCTGTGGTGAACAGGAATATAAAGGACTGCTTGCCTTAGCTTTTATTCGTTCAGTGGTGACTTTGCATAAGCTTTCACTAACAAAAGAACATTAAATTTAAATCTCTCACAAAGTGATGCTTTCTGAAACTGCCCTCTTTTTTAATTAAAGTACTAGAATACAGTGAAAAGCTGTAGGAGACTTTGTCAGACTGTTTCTTTCAGCCTTTTTTCCTGAGCTTGGCACAAAAACAATCTCATTAAGAATTTTTTGTGATAGTCAGTTCAGGTAATTTGTGTCAGAGTAACCCTTGAACTCTTTTATCTAGGTAAGAAAACATGTTGCTGGTAGCAAAACTTGGTCTCCCACATTCAGCAATTGTGGTCCTGGCTAAAAAGAAATAGAAAAAGCTTGCTTTGTAAATTGTTCTGCCAGGACCAAGGAAACGTATTCTCTTTAGGTGTTGCAAGTGCTCAAGGGTCAGGTTTCATATACTGCATTCTTACTGGACAGCTGATTTTAAGAATGTAGACTCTCAGCCGTGAAGCTGATTGTTTGGTAGTTTTGTAGCACTAATTGCAGAAGGAATATTACTTAACTGTTGAGGCTCTTTGAATAAAGGACAAATGTAAAAGCAAACCAAGTCCTTCTGGTTTTTTTTGCTTAAGAATATGTGCACAAATCAAGTTGAAAGCTGTTTTACTTTATTCCTTGTTCTGAGAAAATTTTGGATAGTAATCTGAGTTGTTGATACTTCTAGTGCAGCAGACTATAGACAGGACTGGAGTTTTATTGCACTTCATCCTATAAAGTGGTGCTTATACTGTGTGAGACTACTTTTCTTGAGCATCTTGCTTAATTTCTACCTGAAGGTGGCATTAAAGTGTAAAATTGCCTCTTATTTACACAGCTTATGCTATGCAAATGTATTTGACTATGTAATCTCGTTTCTCACCTCTGCTGTCTCTCTCATTGCAGGTTTCTGAATGTGGCTGGCCAGCAAGACGAGCACCAAATCTTCAGAATCTTTATAGCATATGCAAGAACATGCATTTATGGCTGAAACAAGACCAGAAAAACGTTTGCATTGTGCACTGCCTTGTAAGAAATTGAGCAAAGTACTTCAGACTTAAACCAATCTAGCTTTAAATTGTGAATAAGGATGCTAGTATTCACTCAGTTTGTGAATATTACTGGCTTCCTTACTGTGAGGCCTGGGGGCGATTCCATCCTGCTATGTCTTGAGGAAAGTTATTTGCATAAATTTTCTCCTTAGGCAAATTAGTAGGATAATGTTTACTTGCATGTAGCATGGAAGGCAGTATATAGGAGGGATTAAGTCAGAGTAGCCTTTGGGAGAAAGAATCTGCTTTACTATTTCAGTGTTTGCTCTATTTTTGTTTATTTTCTAAGTGACAGCTGGGTGTACACTGCATTTCCCACTACTGTCCATTTAGAATGTAATCTGTATCTGCAGAATTGCAGAAACTGACTATGAGACTTTTGGTGGAACTTTCTTTTGCTGGCAGCAGATTGCTGTGTAGCTTCCACTGTTCTCTAATGTATCATTAACCTTGATATAACCCAAAAAAGCAATAAAACTCTTGATAAAGAACCACCTTATGTCAAACATGGGGGGAAAATGAATTTAAAGAGTAGTTACTATGTTCAAGATTTGAAAATATGGGGTTACTGTTACATTTGTGTAAGAATTGCATGCGAAATTTTGACATTCTTATTTTCTTGTGCAGTAAAAAGAGAAACATGACAGTTGTTACAATGCTTATGATGCTGCTGGAAAGCATTCATAACCAGTCCTTTGATATGGTATAGTAATCTATATGGAATATCACTATCAGAGTCTAAAAGAGGATTTGCTAATCTGGCAAAGTGTACTTCCTTAAACAGAGTTTTGAAAGAAAAAAAATCAGTTAATGCCAGCTCCTAAAAACCGATGAGATTTTCAGTGCTGCTGTGAGGTTAGGAATCTCATTCTATATTAAAGTGATACTTACAGTATCTCAGTATCACATGAGTGCTAGTCAAGTAGGTAAGAAGCACCTTTCCCTTGAAGTGTTTCCTTTCAGGTACCTAACTCATTCCTTTTCCTCAGGTGTGAGGGAAGCTTGTATATATATGGTTGCATGCCAGATGTGATGTGAAGAGCATACACCGGAACTACTAGAAATGAATGATAGCTGCAATATGTGTCTTGGATTCATCTAGCTGGAAGCTTTTGTAGATTTAAAAGCTAGGAAATCTATGTTGAAAAGAATACTTTATCTGATAGAGGTAGAATGCTTTTAGTCAATACGCTTTCTTGGATAACAAAACATGAGTTGCTTCTTGTAAAGGTGAAACTGCCTCTAGGTGGCTGGGATTCAGAACCAGGTAGGGCTTCCTGGTCTTCTGACCTTTACTGTAGAGGTTTGCAATAATGTAGTGAATTGTTAAATTTTTACATTGTAATTTGAGTGATCCAGGTGAGAACAAGCAGCTGAAAACAAGGCTTAAATGGCAGCTTCTGGCTTCAGCTACAGTTAAGTCTTTCTGGACTGGCGATGACTGAGATCTGTTTTTGACTGGCATCCTGTTCTGTTGATATCACAAGACTGTAGCACATATGCCACAGGCTGGAGTAACTCCTGGACATCTGCAGTAACACTTTTCTCTGTGTAATTATTTGAGGCCATGTAGCGATGGTCATCCTTGAAAACTTGCACAACTTTAAGAAGGTGTGAGTACAAGATCATCTTGGTGGAACTTAATGGCAGAGAGACTTGCAACTGGATATGCTGCAGCTCTTTAAGTGTGCTTAAATGTTCCTTCAGATAGCTGTATTTGACCTGTGTTTAAATGAACCAAGTTAAGATAATTATACAATAGGAAAAGTTATGTTTAATTTGTTTTATGAAGGTTATTTCTTTTCAAAATAGTTTAGACACAAAACTCCTCTATCTACCTTTTTGAGGCTTTGGGACAAAACTTATGCTCAAAATGTAGCTTTTTCCAGTCATTGCTTTTTATTGCTGCCTTAATGATTATGCCTGAGGATTTTTTATTTTTGTAGCCAAGGTCCATCATCCTTGTAAAAACACACAAGGAAAAATTGAAATTCTTACTTTCTCATCTCTGTATGGGAGTGTTTCTTTTGCTCCCATTCTGCAACTTACCAAGCTTCTTTCTGAAGTGCAAGGTTCTGTCATCAGTTTTGTTTACTAATGAATAGGATATTCTTTATTTTGAATGATGCATTTCTGGTTGTAAAGTGGTCTTTAAACTTGCAAAGTTGTCCTCTGACTTCATGCCACAGTTGCAAAGGGTTTGCTGTGACTTGCTTGCTGACCTCTTTGTACAATGATTTTTCTACCCTTGGTGTGGTGCTGTAATTTGGAAGTGGCTTTGTAATGCAAGCATACATAGGTCACTGCTTGTCATGCTGCTCAGCGATTCATTCTTCCCTTGTATTCATTTATGTTTTGTCCTAAGTGTAGGCGTCTCAGGGCAGGGACCATGTTTTTGTTCAGTGTGAAATTTAACTGAAAGGCAGGGGCCAGCCCATAGAATCATAGACTAGTTTAGTGACTTCTGGAAATCATTGGGCTTGCTAGTTACACCAGCATTAATACTGATTTGCTGAACTGCTCTTTAAAGATCTGGCTCTTATGGTGTGGGCAGACCTTCTTTTCATTGATCTAAGTAAAGGTTAGAATAGCAGCCTGGCTTTGAAGGAAATGCCTGTTAAAACAAGTTGAGGAAAAACATTTCCTTCTTCCCCACTTCCACACTCATGCCAAATGACTACAAAAAAATCTGTTTCAAGTTGCTAGAAAAAAAAAACTTGAGAGCTCCTGTTCTGTCAACCATTACCTCTTCTGAATCTTCAGTCTTCTGTAATGCAGGGATGAATCTGAGATGTGTGTAGCCATGGGTCCCTGCAGAAAGAGGTTCAGTGTTTTAATTTCCATCTCTTAGTCCCATGGCAAGCTATTAATCTCAGGCAGTTTTAGTCAGAAGGCTGAGTTTAGCGTGGCTTAGTTCTTCTGAATTTTAGGACTTCTCTTGTAGCCGAAGTCCATGGTTATCAGCCAAAAATAGCACTGAACTGGGGTTTCAGATAGCAGCCAGGAAACAAACTTAAAAATGGGTATTAGTGATAGTAAGGTAATAACCATCAGTTGAAAATTTCAAACAGTGTTAAGCTAAAGCAATTATTCACATTTGAGCAAGCAGGTAATATGTAGTATCTTTTGTATTGTGTGGAAATCAAATGAAAACATTTCATGTTCAGATACAAACGTCAAATCTAATGATCACACTAGACCTTGGACTTCATTACATTAAATAAGGAGACAGCATGTTCTTCAGTAACTTCTGTAGTGCTTTTTCCACTAGGTTTAATAACAAAGTTACAATTTTTTTTGTAGGATGGAAGAGCAGCGTCTGCTGTTGTAGTTTGTTCTTTTCTGTGTTTCTGTCGTCTCTTCACTACTGCTGAAGCTGCAGTTTATATGTTCAGTATGAAACGCTGTCCTCCTGGCATTTGGCCTTCTCATAAAAGGTACAGTATCAGTCTGTTTGTAGGGTGCTCTTGAAGCAAGTAGTTACGCAATTGTGAATATGCCAGTATTTTCACAGGATACTTTTTAGGAAGATGAATTATTTCAATAGCATCTGTGTTCAAACAGCAAAATACTGGGAGAAATAGATGTTTCATGGGTAGAGAAAGTAGTTCTGAATGTTGTGTGAGCCCTTAAGTTACTCATCATGTTCTTACCGAAAGTGAGTCAAGTATGACCTATAGTGAAGAAATGTTAGGAATGAAAACAAGGGTATGCAGTGCTTTTGAATGCTCTCAAGTATAAAATGTGTGTAAGACTTATTCCATGTTTACTAGTTTATTACAATAGGTTTTACTGTGTCAGAACACTGCAAGTTCTGTGGAAAGACCAATCATGATTTCTGTCAATCTTTTCTGTTTAGGTAAGAATGCCTTCTGCTTTTTAAAGGAGTGCGTGCAGAGGTGACTTTCATATACTTTGACAAATGTTTTAAACTGATTATTTGATTTAATTTGATAGACTTTATAACAATAAAGTCTCAGTAGCAAGTGACACTGGTAGTAAGGGTGTTTTCTACAAAAAGGATTAGATTTAGAAAGGTGGGAAGTGAGGATTAGTTAAGTACAAATGACAGATTATGCTGTTGTACAGGTTTACTTTCAGTATATTTAATGGGTTCTCTACAATGTAACTTATGTTAATGAGAATAAATTTAAAGCCTTTAGGAAGCTTTGAGTTACTGACTTCAGAACTGCTGTGCAACTTTGATCCATTATGTGTAAGATACAAAATAAATAGTTCTCCTAGTTCGGTGTTTTAGGGCCTTTGGAAAGATTGTCTAGTTTGTTTTACAAGTGAGTATGTGTAAAGCTACAGACCTAAGGCAGTGTCTGGAGTTGTCTGGAAGATGGGACACAGGTGCACATGAGTTCATATGCAGTGCTGTATTCAGTTTTATGGGCAGTATATTTTTCTGTTGTGATGCAGCCATCAGGCTTTTGTACAGAAAGTGTGTTGCTGTCCTTAAATTCAGAGGCTGGCTAGGGATCATAAATATTTTTCCATGTTTCTATTGCATTTTCCTTTTGTGAAATTCTATCAGATTTGAAAATCTGCTTGCTGGAAGTGCTGTTAAGTGTTCCCAGTGTTTTATTGTTATCATTTGTCACTGCGCAGTGGCTGGATATGAACAGAAGTAACTCACCTATGTGTTCACCCATTTTTAGAATTTGGTTCTCTGGCTAAATGAGTACCTTTTGGTTTTGGCAGATACATTGAATACATGTGTGACATGATGGCTGAAGAACCCATTATTCCTCACAGCAAGCCCATCCTTGTCAGATCAATTGTCATGACTCCAGTTCCTCTTTTCAGTAAGCAGCGTAATGGCTGCAGGCCTTTTTGTGAAGTTTATGTGGGAGATGAGAGAGTAACCACTACCTCCCAGGAATATGACAAAATGAAGTAAGTACAGGTTATGATTTGCTCTGAAACAGCACACGTGTTTTTCTAGACTTACTTAAATATGAAGTCTTTACTGTGAGGAGAAAGCATGATTTTGCATGTGCCAGTTGACCAGAAAGCTGCTTTAATGTATGGAACAGTTCCTCTGTCCCCTTTTAGCTGATTTTGAAAGGTAGATCATGGGGAAGGACAATGTGGTTATAATAGCAGCTTGGATCTGTTCCTGCAGAAAGTGGGGATGATGGGGGGGGTGGCACAGTGGGCACTGGGAGGCAGAGGTGAGCAAGACCCTCTTTCTTCTCACTCCATGTGGTATAAACTAGGAAGATTGATCCTTGGTGTATGTACTGAACTGAACATCATGTCTTGGTCATGGAAACAATAAAGATCCCCCAGGCGTGGTAGCTGTAAGGGGAGTGCTTATTAGCCCCTGTACAGATCTCATGTCTGCTGTTGTAATACAGCACAGGAACTGTGACTGGTACTAGCAGTACAAGGTGTAGATGGTCACAGACAGAGGAAGGATGAGAGAATACTGAAGTGCTTCTAGCTTTCCTATAAATTGAAACCCTGTGAGGAGTTCAATGAATTTGAAGAGAGAAGGAACAGAAACAACTGTGGGATGTTAGAATAACACTTTCCCCTCTTCTTCTCTACCACTGTCCCTCAGTGGGAGTCCTAATATATCACAGCTGTACAGCTACAGTTTCTCTCTGCACCTTTCTTTGGAACAGCTTTCTTCATAATATCCTGTCTTGCATTTCCCAGCAGCTCCTTGAAGACATGTTTCTCCCATATTTGATTTGAGAACTATGGGTCTAAATGTCTTGCTCTGCTGTAGGTGACTGTTAATCTTGTTATTTTTAGAGTAGCTTTTAAGTTTTGATCATTTAGAGTGAATTCCTTCTCTGTAATAAGAACTCGAAGCAGATTTTTATGGGCTGATATTGAAGGCCTTGGAGAAACCAAACTAAACATAAGGTAATACACTATTTTTTAAAATGAAATTAACTGTGGTTATGTTTTTTCTTCAGGGAGTTTAAAATTGAAGATGGGAAAGCAGTAATTCCACTAGGTATAACAGTCCAAGGAGATGTTCTCATTGTCATCTATCATGCCAGGTCAACACTAGGAGGCCGACTACAAGCCAAGGTAATGATAAATTTAACAGCCTACATGGAGAACTTTTTCTTGTTGCAGTTTTGTATCATACTTGTGTTTGTGATCTCATTAAGTATGTGGCTTTATTTGCTATTCTTTGTTGAAAGAAATGTGTGAGGTTTTCAGGTACTTGGTAATTCAGACTTTTCAAGCCTAATAAGTATGTCTATTCTTAGTGCTCTGCATGTAGATGATTTGGTAAGCATTTCTGGAAATTACTTCAGTAGTGGTAGTTGTTATATTTGCATGGAAAGCCTCTAGCTAGTTTTTTGAGGCAGTGATTGTTACCTGTTAAGTTGCACAAGCCAGAACTTTTTAATTCTGTACACACAAACTGCAACAAAAGGAAAAATACCACTCAGTAGAAAAACGGAATTCCAGGGACTTGCCTGTACAAAACAGGCTAGAAAAATCCATGTGGTTTTGTACCCTATTTCTAGAGCCACACTGAGTTTTTATAGCTGATTTTCTTACTAGTCTTTGTTCTCCTGGGGAGAATGCATGTTTCTTTTTTAATTCAACTGTGGATGTAAATGTATTGCACAGTCACAAAAAAAACTTGCTAATGAATCCTGTCTTGAAATTTCTAAGAAGCATGTTTTTTTTCTCCAGATGAGTAACCCAAATTAAACTTGGAGATCCATGTAAAAGATAGGAAGGGGTAGTGCAAAGTTGAGGATAACTTGGAGCATTGTGAAAATTGATCCAGAGGTTCTTCAGACAGTTTCCATACATTTGGGGCAAACAAGCATATTCATACATATCTACTATTACTGAAATAAATGGTTTTCCCTATATCTTTTTTCTACTTTGTGTGTAGGAAGGTGAGTATCAAATTATGTCATGTTGCAGAGGTTCAAGACTTTCTTAATGTCTGCATAGTGCTATGGGGCCAGATCTTCCAAAACATCCTGAAACTGAAAGCTCAGTGAAATGATTCTCTAACGCACAGATATAACTAGTGTATGGTTCAAGGTCATCTGTGAAGAAGGCATACAACAGGGGAAAATTTGGCCAAGGTTAGCTTATACTCCTTCTGCAATCAGTTTCACTGATGATAAGTTTTCTTTGATGTGGTTTCTCTGGCATTTATCCACTAATTGAAAAAGATCAGAATTTTCTCATCCACCTGCTATAACACAGGATACATCAACAGTGTTTGATCATGGTTTGGAGCTTTGATCGAACAATATTCAATGTGTCCTTAGTTTTACATACTCTAAATTGCCCCCTGAAGCTTTCTGCAGAACTCTTAGGGAGATCACCACATTTCAACACTGCTGTTAAGTGCCTAGAGCTGGGCATTATGAATGTCTCCCGCTTGCTCACAGTTAATTTGAGAGAGGATTTAGTTTATCTTCTAGGAAATGTCTTGCATAGCAAGGGATTAAGAAAACTGGTTCAATAGGGAGTTCAGGCTTTCATATGTAGTTCAGGGTAGGGATGGATGGATCAGACAAACTCTCTCCAGTATGTCCATGTCTTTCTTGTATTGGGGAGCCCAGCACTGGACACAGGACTTCAGGACCACAGCCTCACCAGTGCTGGATAGAGCGGAAAGATCACCTCTCTCAACCTGCTAGCAGTGCTTTGCTTGTTACTTGACTTCTGGTTATGATGTTCAATAAATCCTCATTTATGAGGAAAGCTTTCATCATTCAATTTTACTATATCATATTTACTGGACTATTACTGTATGACTTGCTTTGTAAGGACTGGCAAGACTATTCCACGTGTGTTCTAACTGAAGCCAGGGAACAAATACATTGTGGATTTATCAATTTGCTGTAATTTGGATTTGTGCAAGACCAGGAGCTACATGAACCTTCTATAGTAGCATTTTCTGGATTCTCACATGCTGATCAGGCATGGGAAAGTAGTTTTTCTGTCAGCAGAAGAAAGAGTTGGGGAAGTTGAATGGTTATAATGAATCAGTTTGGAAAAGCTGTATATTTCTGTCTGGGATGAATGATTGACTTGAGAAGTCGTACAGGAAAAATAACTCTTTGCATGTCTTATGAAGTGTCCTTTTAAATGTACTACCTTTAAAATTGTTCTGAATGGACTCCTTTATATATGACGTGTATTTCTTGATTAGTGTATTGCACAAGTAGTTTTTCTGAGTATGTTATTCAGAAAAGTAATAAGGGTCATGCAGTTTCAGCCTCTAGAACAGGGTCTGGAAATATTTAACAGACTTTGATAGTCTGTTTGAGCTTAGTGTTGAGAGGTGTCTGGTTCAAGGTCCTTTGTTTCTGGTAGTAATAGATTTATCTATGTTCTGTCTTAAACTGCATTTAAATCTCTCAAGATAAAGTATACATGGAATTAACTGAAATTAAACAAACACTTTAAAATACTGTAATACTGAAAATAGTTTGTATTATGTTAAAGACAGAACACTACACACTGTTCATGTGGATTTATGCAGTTTCCCTGTATTTCATTTCAACAGATGGCTTCAATGAAGATGTTTCAGATTCAGTTCCACACAGGTTTTGTGCCCCGAAATGCCACCACAGTGAAATTTGCCAAGTATGTTGACACCCTTTTGCAGGAGACTAAGAAGTTTTCTTTGAAACTGTTTAACCTGCCAAGCCAACATATGGCGAGGGGAGGAAAGAAATTCAGTGTAGGAAGTAGATGACTTTGATTGCAATAAGAAGATTCTTTTGCTTTCTCACCTCAAGGAAACAGAAGGTTTTGTTCATGATGCAAAAAAAATTTCTCTACCAAAATACCACCTGTTTAAAATATATGGAAAAAGTAAACAAATACAGCATGTTTAAGCCTTATACTGATTGCTTAAAGTTCTGTCTTGGACTGCAGTGAATTTAATCTAGTTAGCCATCAGTATCAAGAATCTACTTGTATGCATCTTTGCAGGTATGATCTGGATGCCTGTGACATACAAGAAAAATATCCTGATTTATTTCAAGTCAATCTGGAAGTAGAGGTGGAGCCCAGAGATAGACCTAGCTGTGAACAGCCACCGTGGGATAACATGAATATAAAGGGACTGAATCCCAAGATCCTTTTCTCCACCCGAGAGGAACAACAAGAGATTTTATCAAAATTTGGTAATGAATCTCTTGAAAAACTAGAGAACGTGATAAAGTTTTTCTAATGTTCTTAGTGTTTGAGGCTTTTGTTTAATTTCTGACATTCCTTTAAGTGAAAGAAATTTAAAAGGTGTTTTTTTGTAAATATCACTTAAATTTGCATTGTATGAAGGAGTATAAATTATCCTCCAATAATGGATTATAATTATCCTTGTCTTAGCTCTGCTGTCATTACATTTGCTTGCTTTAAAGCTATGAATATGCTATTTGCAGGGATTTTAGCAAATGGAATTGTGACAGCCAGGATTTGTAGGCAAAATGTCTTGAAAGAACTATATTTGGCTAAACTGGCATCTTTATCATTTCACTTAAAGTCATCTGAGCATTCCTCACAAGTGGTCTTAACTAAAAACGTTTTTATTGAGGTCCTTCTTATACATAGCCAAGTAATGTTGTAATTCAATTTCTCAACTTTTCCTGATTTGGTCCAGCAGATGTTTAATTTTTTTAGTACCACATATTCTGTGCTTCATCTATAGATGCCTGCATTAATTCCAGTTAATGCTGTTCAGTATCTTTCTTCTTCTCCTGGTGTTGGTAATTAGCTTTGACATTTTCATTAAGGCTCTCTTAAGCCTTCTCTGTGCTTCCAGGATAAAAAGCATGATGGAGATTGTGGTGATTTTAGTACACCACGTGAGATCTTACTCTCTACTCTTAATATGGTACATCTTGCATTTCCTTTGATACAAGGCAGTTGCTGTTGTCTTACCTTTTTTTAGCAGGCTATGTTTGGTTTGTATTATGATTTAGGTCATTTTCTATTTAACTTAGTTTATATAGATTTTAAAGGTCCTACTGTGAACACAAGTCTCAGCTCACTAAAGTTAAGGTGTTTCATTGATTATGAGGATCTGTAAAAATTACTCTTATTTTTTAAGTCACTTTCATTTTCTGATTGATAAGTGAAATGTAAGGGTTTCAAATTCCATTGAAAATATTTCTTAAAACTGGTGGGAAGGGAATAGGACAAGAGCAAGTGCTGTGAACTGGTTTTATATTATATTAAATTAAGAAAATACTATTAAATTAAAAATAATTAAATTTAATTAAAATTGAATTTGCACTACTTCATTAATCATGATCTTTCATGTATGTTTTCTGAGACAGATGCTGAAAAAAATAGTCTATGTAAGCTGCAGCTGAGTATGTGGAAGGAGGGTGGAAAAAGTACTGTACCAGTTTGGTATTTAGATTTAGAGAAATATCTTTCTCCCAGGCATTCATCCCATTCTTTTCCAACAGTGGATGAACACTTACTAATTTAGGGAGTCTTCTTACTCGCCTTGAGGAAACCTGCTTTTTGGGAGATGAGATAGTAGTAGGTAACTCAGCCCAACTCAGTCTTACACAAGAGTTGCTTAAGATCTGATCTCAGTAAAATAAGAAATGCAAGGAGTATTTAATCGCAGTACACAGTGTATTATTTAACTCCTTTGAGATGTTTGTTAACAACTCCATGTTCTCCTCTGGCTTTATACTCTGGGTTTCTTCTATAGCTGCATTTGCTCTTTTTCGATGTTCTGTTCCTTATTGCAGATGTTGTTCATAGCTGTTGCCTATTTTAGGGGATGGTTGGTACAAGTGAGGTGTTAATTCCATTTTCCTACAAATATAAATAGAATGCTTGAGTGTTTTGCTATGAGTCTGATTTAATTTAATGTTATAGTTGAACATAGGGTCTTTCCAGCCTTTGTAGTTGAAACAGTTAATAATGTTAGTTTCAAATGGGGGCGGGGACAGGAATTTGCCTTTGCACAGTAATAGATCCTTTGAGACAGTTGTCTTGCTATAGCAGTCAGTCTGCAAGTCAAATACCAGCTTCTGTGACCAGGATTGAGTTTTAGAAGTTTCTCTTTAAGGGTTCTGGCTTAAAATCTATCTTATAGGGAAACCAGAGTTGCCTAGACAACCAGGTTCAACTGCACAATATGAAGCAGAAGCATCCCAGCTGGAGCAGTCTTCAGAAAGTGCACCTACTGAGACAGAATCCCCACAAAGCAGTAGTACTGATGCAAATAATTTCTTTCATTCTCTGGACTGGAAAGGTACAGGTTTTCCTCTGAAGAAACTATTTTGTTGTATGTTGTCTTGCACACCTTCCAACGAGTGCTTAAGCCTTCTTATGCAGCAAAAGTCACTGTTTCACCAGACAATGAGAAAAAGCTATTTGAAAAGTGAGCTCTGTGTGTTAACAAGTGGTCAGTCCACTTGATTTGGATAAACACCAAGTAATGGGTTTTGGTATTGTGTGTAACTTAAATGCTGAGCTAAATTTTTCTTTTTCTGCAAAAATCTTAATCTTAAAGGTCTGCAAGGAAGCCTTTGCGTTCCCACAGCCCCACTTAGGCTGGCTGAGGAACAGAGGAAACAAAGTAGACTAGCCAGTGGGGTCCAGATCAGTACATATGGACTGAGAAAATGTAACTTTATAGTGCATGTATACGTCCTTTTTCTGGGTTCTGCTTTGTTGGCAAAAACGTCACTAACTGCTTATGCTGTCATTGAATGCTGTCACTGAGTGGAGCAGCAGTTACTGAGTGATCTTCTAAGCCATAAGTGGTATGATGTCCTGAGGTGAATGTACAAGTCACATTTTGAAAAAATTCATAATATCTGCCCTTGCAGAGTGTCAAGCATGGTAGTGAGCTGCCCTTTTGCCTGCCCTGTACAAAGAGGTGGTAGGCAAAAGTTAGTTCTTTTTTCATCAATGCTTTTGTGAGCTTTGATTTAATTTAAGGATTGATTTCCTATTATCTCACCATATAAGTCTGTCTTATCCTAGTTGGCAGAAGAATCCTGGGAATCTAAAGCCGTTATTTCTTTTTATTCAAGAAGGAAAAAGTCTGGAAAGTGGAATAGAGGACGGTTCATCTAAAAATGTTCGTGTCCAACTATCTGATGACAGGGAGGAGAGTGATCCTTCAGATGAGGAATTCCCTACGTTTCCAGGTGAAGAAAGTGCAGTAATTGTTGATGAAAAAGACTCTATTACTCCAGAAGGAGAGCTGCTTTTTGAAGCCAGTTTTGAAGCTCCATCTGCACTGTTACAAAAACCTCTTCCTGAAGAGAATGTAGACTTACTGGGACTAGACTCTGATATTTCACCAGAACAGAAACAACCTATCTCAGAAGTAAACTCTTCATCAAGTAATGCGGACTTGTTGAACAATCTGTTTGTGGGTAACGCATCACAGATTTCAGAAGAGCCCACTGGTGATCTTCTTGGACAAGGAACAGATTTCTTTTTCAGCAGTCAGTCTCAGTGTCCAGCTGCTACTCAGGGTATGTCTTCAGCAGCAGCCATGTCTTCAGGTATGTAAATTTAACATCAGAACTCTTTGGCTGGCCAACAGATAAAAACTGCTGCTTGCATTGCACTTAGAAAAATGAGTACCATGTTTTGATCTGTACACTGAAGATGTTGGTCTATAGCAAGAATCTGTATAGAACAGGTGTTTTCACTGCATGAAGGAGACAAAATGCTGTATGTTATCCAGGTATTTTGTTACCTGTCAATATCCTATTAGCTTTAAACCATGTAAACAGAAAAGTATGAAATTTTGCATTTAAAGGAGATCCGGTATTCTTAAAGAATCCATAGCTTTCCCATACAGATGTTACATGTTAGATCCTTTTCTAAATCCATATGTAAATAACTTCTCTTGCTAAGGCATAGAATTGTAGTAGCTTACTGCTTTCTTGCACATTACATAAAGCAATAGCATTAGATGTGGTACAGAGCTGTGCTGCTTAGGTCAAATGTCTGTGTGGGATTTTTGAGTGTTAATCATGTAAGACTGCTAGGCAACTGGAAATCCTGTAGATTACTGTTTAAACCAGTAGGATAAAAGGTGGTTTTTTGCTGGTTTTACTGATGTTGTTGGCAGGTCTGTATCCTGCAAGATACTGTTACACACTGCTACCTATTTGGTGTTTAAAACAAGGTGTTTTAGTTTAGAGGTTGTGTTCCTCTTACCAATGCATAGTTAGCTCTTTGTCATGTGACTAAACTTTTCAGAATAGCAATTCTCTGCCTGAAGTTACAGTAAGATTTTTGGGAATATTAGTCAAATAATCTTGGAAACTGTTACAAGGTTTAGCTTATCTGCACAAAGGTAATTCACTTGGACTAATAATTTTAATCTACATACAGCTGCAAAGTGTTCTTGTAGAGCATTTAGGTGATTTCAAGTATTTATTTCTTTTGAAGCAGTTCAGTATTGGACTTTCTTACTGTGGTCAATGAGGAATCACTTAATTTACCTTTTTTAAATAGGCAGAAGTCTATAAAAGAGAAGCTTTATTACTTTATCTTTCTTTAACTACGCCTTTCTTATATCTACTCCATAAAACACCTGAGCAGTAGTCATGTATGTATCTCATTCTACCTTTGAATCGGATAAGAGAAAGATAATTGCAGAAGTGAGAATATTTGGCCACTGTTGTGCTTCAGTTTGTACGTCAAACTTGTACTTAGTTTTTGTGTATGTGTGATGCTATAGTAAGATAGCTTTATGACAATCCAGGGTTTGTTTTTTGAAGTGTTACTGAGCCCTGTACAATGTGTTCATCACCTCAGGATGCGCTAGGGCACTATGGCAGGATTATTCCTTCTCTTCAGCTTCTGAGTGAATCGGGCAGGAGTCCCTGGGCTCTTGAGGGTTTTGACCCTAGAGGGCAGCAGAAACGGGAAGATCTCGAGCCACGATTCCAGCTGGCTGTCACATGTTACCCCATGCTGACTATAAATACTCTTCCAGTTAGTTTTTTTCTTCGTTGTGATCACTAGAGACCTGTTGAAAGCCTTGCTTCTGTTGGTTTTCATTCTTGAGTTGACATGCTTTCTGCCCCAGAGTCACCAATGCCTTCAAGTCAAAGTGGTAGTATGAATGTTTTACTTGATATTCTTTTTAGTAGTTTAATAGTCTGTTTTGTTTAAATTTTTTGGAGGTTTGGCATTATAGAGCATTTAACAAATGTAATTCTTCTGTTTGTATGCAGATGATCAGTCAAATTTAATGTCTTACATGGATGAAATTAACAATGTTATTGAATGTATACAGCCTGGCTAAGGATTTGTGTTTGAAGACATAGCTGTTCATATTGTGAAATACTTTTTGTACTAACATGAAAGTACAGATGTCTAGAGGAAGGGACAGATGGTGACTCTTTGCCATGAAAAATTCTCAGAAGGCTGCTGCACTTACCAACATGAACTCTACTTTTTGTCTGTGCCCCCAGAGGAGTAAGGCTTTTTCAACTTTGTTTATTCTAAAATTTGTCATAAGATAATTGTTTTCTGCTTCTTTTTTAGCTGATCCTTTTGACCCATTCACAATGTCATCAGGTTCAGAGAATCAAGCCCTGTCTGGTCCAGACCTCTTTGGGGACTTTCTAAATCCAAGCTCAACATCTACAGCTAGTACATTTCCTTCCACACACGGTTCACTTCCGCCTTCTTCCAGCTCAGATTTCTTAAATATAGGTAAGTGCGCTTCTGGTGTTTTGTTTCTTAACAGTTTCTGCTGCTCTGTGCATTTGTCTTTCAGCTTAGTCAAGGTGGATTAGTGTCTTAATAGATCTACTTGTTGTGACTGCTGTTTTAATTAGTTCTGGGAATGCAGATGCAAATGCACCAAGTAGCAAGGGTTTCCTGTATAATGTCACGCTAATATTTGTGATGCAAGAGGATTTCTAGCATTGCTAACCTTCTGTTAGGAGCTGGAGTTTCCTCTGAGAGCTCTTAGAACTGAGGGTACACAAACACCTGCAATCTTACTTTCTAGATGGCAGAATGCTATTTTGATTGTATTCAGATTTTAAAGATTTTCTGGAAGCCTTGGAAAAGAAATGAACAAGTCAAATTATAGTACAGCCAGTTCTTAAAATGCAAGCTTGAGGCTAGCTTGGACCTTCTTGACCTGAATGCATTCTGGTAATATACTTATGGAGACATTATGTAATACTCTAATCGTATTTGTTTCACTTAATTTCTCTGTATTCCTGGTGAAGCCTTTTCCTCATGTATTATTTTAAAATCTATTAATCTTTAAACAAAAAGCTTGATATGTTCGGTCTTCGTGTATCTCCATCCTAGACACGTTATTTCCAAAGTGTTACTAAACAGAGCTTCTAAGCATGCTCATTCTTTAAAGAGAAACATACCCTTGCAAAAATGGTGGAGTCATAGAGCCAGAAGTGTTGCTTTTTAAATCTGATTTTCAAAGAAAAGCATGGGTCCTCTCCATAGGGATGAGAGTTGTGGTCAGTCTGTAACAGCTCTTCTCTGCTGCTCCTTCATCGTCACACTGTTCCCCTGCTCCTGCGTGGGTCCTTCCCACGGGATGCAGTCTTTCAGGAACATGGGTCTCCGTAGGGTACAGTCCTTCAGGAACAGACTGCTCCAGTGTGGGCCCCCCATGGGCTGCAGCTCCTGCCAGGAGCCGGCTGCTGTGTGGGCTCCTCTCTATGGGCTGCGGCTTCCTCCAGGGCATGTCCACCTGCGTGGAGTCCTCCACAGGCTGCAGTGTGGATATTTGCTCCACTGTGGTGTTCTCCATGGGCTGCAGCGGAATTTCTGCTCTGGCACCTGGAGCACCTCCTCCCCCTCCTTCTCCACTGACCTTGGTGTCTGCAGGGCTGTTTCTCTCATACTTTTCTCACTCTCACAGCTGCTGTGCAGTGTTTCTTACCCTTTCTTACATCTGTTTTCCCAGAGGTGCCACCATCTTGGCTGAGCAGCTCAGCTGTGTCCTGTGGTGGGTCAGTTGGAGCTGGCTGTGTCCAGCACAGAGTAGCCCAGGCCTCTCCTCACCGAAGGCCACCCCTGCAGATCCTCACTTATAAATTGGAGGCAGTTAGGAATGGTGGTATCGCATTCCTCACCCTGAATCCAGGAGCGTTTTCTTCCCAGAGCTTACTGCATGTGGTTTTGAGTTGCCCCTCCTTGTTGGACAGTTGGTATAGTTGACCCTGCCTCTAGGTGATGCAGTCAGAGTATAAGCTGCAGAGAAACTGGATAAAAAAAGATGCAGTATTTGCCTGTCTGAGAGGTGGGCTTCCTCCTTGAAATAAAAGGCTACCCAGCTGATTGCCTTCTCTACCATGTATTTAGGTGTTATTCCAGCTGTGGCTGATTCCTCTGAGATCATCCCACTTGCTGCTTTCTTTGCAACATTTTTGTTCTGTCCTATAGATACAGTAACAGCTGTATGTTTTAGTTGTATACTTGTATAGTTGCCAGTCCTATGCCACTTTTAGTTACGACACTATTGTCACTGCATGAGGTTACCAAACAGATGATGATTTTTTTTCTGTTCAGTAGAAGATTTGATCGATAGTGATCTGTGGAGCATCATCTCAGCCAAAATCTATCTCACTCCAGAGGCAGGGACCTCTGGAGATTTAGTTGACCTGCTCAAAGAAGGGTGAAGTAGAGCAGGCTGCTCAGGACCTTGTCCTTGCTGACTTCTTATTATTTCTGAGGATGCAGACTCTACAACCTCTATAGGCAACCTGTGCCAGTGTTTGACTACTCTTACAGAAAAAAATTCTTCTGTTTAAATCGAATTTCCTGTGTTTCAGTTTGTGCCCACTGCCTCTTGTCCTTCCACTGGGCAGCACTGAGAAGAGTCTGGCTCAGACTTGTTTATTTCTTCCCATTAAGTATTTATACACATTGATAAGATTGCCCACCCCCGGTGCTTCTCTTCTCCAGGTTGAAGAATACCAGCACCCTCAGCCTGTCCTTACATCGGAGGTGCTCCAATCCTTACATGACAGAGAACACTTTTGTGTACTAAATTTAAGTTGGAAAAATACATAAATGTGAATTTCTGCTCTCTAAATGTTTACCTGCAACCTCAAGGAGACCACCATCAATGTTCAGCTGTTAGTAACATTTGAGCAAGTACAGAAGAAAAAGAAAAAATATTTTGACATCTGATTCATTGCTTATTGTTTTATGCTTACTCTTTCTGATTTTGGTTGATAACTTGCACCCTGGTAAATGCATTAGCATACCTGCTATTTTAATGTGATTTCTGGAGCTTTCTGTCAACATAGGGAAAAAGTACTTAAAATGTACCCATCTTCTCTTCAGTCAACTGTTACACAGTGATTTCCCAATACTTCTCTGTTGCTATGCAGGCTTTAAAAACCCCATGGAAGTGGAGGAATTGGGATAACATTTCATGCTCCTTTAAGTTTACCTGTCAAGTGACAGCTTTTCTATGTGTTTAGCTGAAATGAAGTATGTATTTGAGCCTTTAGCATTCCATCCAGTCACAGGTATAAAACTTCCTTTTAGCAAGGAAGTTGAATGAGTGAGGGTGAGTGAAAGGGCATGATAACTAGTAACTGGAGAAGGAATGGCAAATGAGAGTGTGTTCTCAAATGACATATTTGGAAGAATTGTGTTGAGAGCACAGAAGAAGGTGCAAACATGAAGTCATTAAAGTGAGAAACAATTTTAAACTCACTAAAAATAAATTAGTAGTAATGTTAGTGTTCATTCAAAATAAGCTGCAGCAATAAGATATGGTTAATCTACTGTTGGAGCAGTAATAAGTGTCTAGAATTAAATTTTAGTGATGGATAAGCTTTCTTTGGTAGTAAACAATTACTAAACCTCTATAGATACCAGGAGAAAAGCTGTTTCAGTGAACACAGTTCAAGAATTAGAATTTTAGGTTTATTTCTCAATGTGGCTTGAAATTTAGTATCATAGGAGTTTTAAAATGTAATTTCAATGTGTAGGAAAGGTAGTTCTTCAAGAGTATCTGGTCTGTTAAGGCATTCTGTCCTGTAATATGAAAATGTTGAACAGTTGCTGCTAAAATGGCAGTGTATTAACAGGGTAATTTAATTTTCTGTGAAAAGCTGTAGTAATTTGGCGGAGAAGCTAGTAGGTGGGATGACTGTTCACTTCAGAATTGATAACCTGCTCTGAAGTGGCCACACTTGCAAAAACAAGCTATTGTCAGTAGCTGGAGGAGTATCCATTTTTCCTTAGTAGGTATTTGTTTAGTGAGCATTCTTGAGAACAGAATTGGTTTGTTTGGATATGCAAGTAGCAGGTCATCTCCAACACAAGTCGAAATACAGGAATGTATTTCCCTCTTCGAGAATGAACTGATCTGATCAAAAGATAGCAAGAGATGTGGAAGGTGATCCAAAGAAACATGAGTAACCAGTGTCATCTTCTCCTGAGTAGAAGTTAGTTTCTGTGATGACTGTGTTCTCAGTCAGGCTTTAGACAAGGTTAAAAAAAACTTGCATGGTACTAAACCAGCCTCTTGGTTCACAGAAAATCCTGTTGTCCTCTGTGATTAAAGGATTTCCTGTAGAGATGACAAGTTAAATAAAGAAAACCTAATGTGAAGTTGTATATAGGATATAGTAAAATGCAGGTCTCTTATTTTGGGAAGCTGGAAAGTGTGATCTGATTACCGCCAACTTATTCTTACATCTTATCTTGGTTTGAGCACTTTTAGTAAAGAACTATGTCCTGACCTCCAGTGGTTTACTGTTGTATGGCTAAGGTTTATAAATATGTGCATTAGAGAAGAACTTAAGGGACAAGCAGGTGTGGATTTGCTTGTCCATGATCTCAATTGCTTCAACTTTTGGAGTATTTAGCTGTTCTTCATATTTCACCCTTTCTTTAGATATTCTGCTTCTTTACCTTAATGTGTCTGTATGAACTCCAGTGTGCCAGGTTACAAAAATAAGGGATTCAGCGTGTGGTCTCATCATACCCCTTCAGAATATGTAGAAGTCAGGGTATCATGTTGGTAATGCCATTTCTTGATGTTAAAGTCTATTGTAATGCCCAAGTTGTACAACTAAAAAGAATATAGTATAAGAATAAACAGTTCCAGGAGGTTATTAATCTTATCTGTTCAGTATATTGCACATTGTACTCCATAGTTTCAGATTTTTCTGATAAAAGTGTAGTGGCTGTATCTGAGCTTGTACTATTCATAGTGAAATTACTGCTGTACATAGCAGTAGGCTACTCCTGCTTTGTTCAGAGTGGGGGAGGTAATGAACTTGACTGCTCTTAAACCAGCAGTTATAAAACACCTGATTCTCATAGTGTGTTCTCAGTCTTTCAAATGCATTCAGCTGTAGTTTACTTTATTCTTATTTCTCTCAACTTGGTTTTATCATAGGAAGAGCGTTAATTCTGTAAGTGGTTGTAAATTTTCTCATGCCCCTGTAAAAAAAACTGGTAATAGCAGAGATCATAAGCCAAAATTATTTTTAGCTTAAAAATCCATACTAATATTAATTCAAGGCCCACTTAACATTTGGGATTGGTATATGGTACAGCAAATGTCTAAACTGATGAACAGACACTTTTGGATACTTCGACGTTTATAGCTAGTGACACTGCTGTGTAGCAGATAGCTGGGGTCCTGAGTACTGAGGCAAATACATACTGTTTCTCCCATGGTTTCAGAGGCAGGGAGATGAGGCTTAAGTCTGGAGAAAGGGCTGAAAATTGTACTACACCTTCAGAAGACTTTGGTGTCCACTTTGTGCATTTTATTCTGTTGTTTTCCTTCACGTGCAGCAGAGATGACTGCTGTAATACAGGCTCTTGGCAGACATTTGTTGCAGAGTATTTGATGTGCTCTCTTTGCAACTGTAAGATCTAAGTATAAATAGAGTTAGTGGATTGAGGTAGTGGAGGGGATATTTAATTTGCTTCAAATTATTTCATCAAATAAGATAAAATAGCTTGTGTGATTTGGTATCAATATTCAGAATGTAAAGTTGAGAAGCTGAGAGAAGTGAAAAGCCATGACGTAGTAGTCAAAACATCCAAAGCATCAAAATGTCACTATTTTTGTAAGAATGGCTGGGTTAGCTTTCCAAACTTTAGGTCTTTGAAATGTCTTAGAGCACCACTAAACATACTGGGTTTGCTGAAATATCACCTCTCCCTGTAGCACTGACTGTTTTCATAGCATTGAAGGGGTGGTTACATTCAAAAGCTGTCCTGCTTCACTGTGAGTCTCTGCAAGCTGTGCTGAAAGGGAGTGCTCAGAGGGTGGCATGCACCTTTGAGTGTTCCTTACCTACGACCTCTCATTCTGAGGATGGCCCACCTCATACTGTGTGTGAGTGAGAAAGGGGGGAATCATTTGTAAGTGTCACGGGTGGCAGTTATAACCATGTGTTGGATGGGACACTTTCTAGAAGTTAGTGGAAGCACCCTTGCATCCTTTTGAATGTGACTGTTTCATTGTCTGTTTTCAGTTGGTATGGTGGTTTTGCTTTGCACATAGAAAAGCAGCTGTTATGTATGGAGCTAGTGATTCTCAATCTGTTCCCAGAAGAGATCATCTTGTATCCTGCTCTTTAATTGCATGCATTCATTCATGTGTTGAACCTAAAAGGGCTATTAGTTTGTCAAGAGCTCCCTTTGTCACATGAGGCCTGGGTTAGGTCAACTTGCAGTTTGAAGTGACCTGGCTCCACCTGTGTAGCACCCAGACTGCTGAGTGATATGGAGAACCATTTCATGAAGCAGTGCTGCTTTCTGGTTACCTGCTGTGTTGTCAGGAACAGCAGCATGCCCTGAAGTCATCCCTTAGCTAGTCATTTTGCCCAGGAGACCTAAGCTGTTAAATTCATAGCATTGCCTGTGCATGAAAATACCTCCTCTATGAAGTGCATGGGATGTTTCAAATACATATGAAGGAATTCCAGTGGTAAAACCCTTCTGAGTCCTGTTTAAGACTGCATGACTGTGTTGTGGAGAAGTTTAAGCAAGCCATGTAGTTGGCCATTGCAGCTGACAATGTGGTACACAGTTCTGTTGGTATTGGCAAAATATCCATTATTGTGATGGTGTTCTTAAAAGAATAATCAAAAGTTTTTTTTTCTTCTGTAGGGAATTTGACACCAGAGCCACCTAAAATACCATCTTCTACAAGCCACCCAGATCTCTTAGGTGGATGGGATTCTTGGGCAGATTCCTCAGCAACCAGCAATGTAGTGTCACCACAGTTGAAGCCTCTTTTTGAAGGTATTATGAAACAAAATTCTTGCATTAGAGGGAATAAGAAATACTCCAGACTTGGTCAGTTTAATCACCTGAGACTGGTGAACATGTCTTCATACCTTTTTGCTTTGTTGCTTAAAGGACACCATGCTCTTGTGTTTAAATGCCCCTTTAGTAAGGCACTTGTGTAGTTTTTCAGAGTAAGTTCAAGGCAGAGGAAGCAAATAGTTTCAGTTGTCTATAGTAATGGTGATTCTTGTCATGGTAAAAGATGTCATGGAGCAGAATGCCAGGAAGGTTTACATGAGGTGTTGTGGAAATAGTACTTTTATTCATTCTCTCAATTTCCAAATTCACCAAGTACTTGATAGGCTTTCTTATTATACAGGTCAAGCTGTTACCACAGGGAGCCAGTCCAGTGTGTCTTCAGGTCTGTCTTTCAGCCAGGCTAAATCTCAGAACTTTGATCCTTTTGCTGATCTTGCCAGTCTTGGATCTGGTCTTCCAGGTAAGATCTTACTTTTAAGAGACTATACTTAATGCCTTTACGGTTTGATTTGCTTCTTGTACCAATAAATGTAACTGATAGCTTATATAAAGGAAAGTGTTTCCTTTTAATTGTTACCAACCAGCTTGAAGCAGTTACTGAGAGCAGACAAGTAACAAGAAAAGATCGAATCTTTACGGAGATTGTGTGAAACATCTAGAATAATACTTCAGAAGATAAATCACAGCTGTGGTTAGAAACAGTATAAATACTTAATGCTACAGAATCTAGTTGAGGAGGTAAGAGAAACCAGGGGTCGCTGATTCAGTAACTGAGCATGAAGTTTCTTATCTAGCATTGATTGATACTGTGCTGTGAAGGATATAAAATGAAAGCTGTATTAAATTCTTTGCTAGGTCCAAAGTGACAGTTGTTTTCCTTTTAATTCAGTACTTTTCTTTGAATTCAATAGGCCTTCATAGCTCTGCTACTCCAATCTGTCATGTTTGTAAGATAAGCACAAATCAGGTCCGTACTTGTGCCCCAGTGTCCTGGTCTTGGCTGGGATAGAGTTAATTTTCTTCCCAGTAGCTGGTATTGTGCTGTGTATTGGATTTGTGCTGGGAATAATGTTGATAACACAGTTTTAGTTGTTGCTAGGTAGTGCTTACACTAGTCAAGGGCTTTTCAGCTTCTCATGCCCTGCCAGTGAGAAGCTGGGAGGGGGCACAGCCAGGACAGCTGACCCAAACTGGCCAGAGGGGTATTCCATACCATATGATGTCATGCTCAGTACATAAATGGGGGGGGTGGGGTGGTTGGCCTGGGGGTGGTGACTGCTGCTTGGGATTATTCCTTCCTTTTCTGTCCTATTAAACTGTCTTTATCTCAACCCATGAATTTTACTTTTTTTCTGATTTAAATGTTAAATGTGACTACCTGCCAAGAGTCCAAGGAGCAATTTGGAACAGCCTATAGTTGCTGAGTTGCTAAATTGCAGAAATGTGCTTTTCCCTTAGCTTGGAGCTGACAGAGGTGTTATCCTGTTGCCTTGGCAGTTAGCATTGTGTATTAAATTGAGTATCCTCTTGGTAGAGTTATCTTACATAAACACAAGGTAACATACAGTGTTTGGCTGCTTTGTTGCCTGTGTGTAATTACTTGCAAAATTCTGGTGTTGAAGCAGTACCAATAAGGCTGCTCTGCAGTCAACAATTTATAAAAATTTTCTAGTTTAATAATTCAGGTTAAGATGGACTTGTTAAATCTATATATAGTGTGGCAGTAAAAAAATAAATTTATCTTTGACCTGGAGATGCAGGTATAGCACACACTGAAACAGTGGAAGAAATTGTACTGATTTTAGCAGGATTTAGATCAATTCATTAGTCTTTCAGTTAACCTTCAATAGGAAAAATGACTGCATTAAAAGGTAGCCAGATGTCACTGTGCTAGTTAACCTTCTCATGCTTGAGCTGAATTTTCAGGGAGTTATAAGAACTGGAGTTCAGACTCGGTGTTGTATTTTTCATAGGCATTTTTTGGCCTTCGCATACAAGTCATTATTCTGGAAGAAGAGTTATAAGAGTGAAAGCTGCTTAATTGGATTGCTATATAAACAGAAAAGAAACAATAGCTAAAGATAGTTGTTGGTGGTGTATTAGGCTAGTGGTAGGATACCAATAGTGTTCTGTGATAGCTGGTGTTCTCACACTCTTCATTTCTAGGAATGATCTTGTACCAGAAAGTAGTGTGGTGTTGAAAAGTTCCTGCTGATAGAGAGGCATTGGCTTGTCCTACAGGAAGAATTGGTTGGCCTTGAAGACTGAAATAATGAATGTAGAATGCTTTGAAAGAGTAGTAGAATGAGACTATTTTTCAGTGTGCGAGGTCATGTACTCTGACTAGTAACAGGGATTTATTTCTGTATATTTCACAAGTGACTGAAGACTGAGTTGAGTATGCAGTTGGGTGCTTTCATGAAAAAACAATGCAATCCCAGATTTTATCAGGTGTTGTATTGCAATACTAGGTTTTATCAGGTGTGGTATTTAGAGGTATAGTATGATATCTTGTACATGGCCCTGGGGAGACATCCTTTTGTGTAAGCTGTTACAACTATGAGCAGTAGCTACAAAAGACAGCTATCAGGAGAGCCGAGGTGTGGGGAACCAGTTTTGAAAGAAGAAACTGAGTTTACACTGCTGTGTGTACCCAGACAAGCTTGGGTGTCTTTTCTGAGGCTTTAGAGTGAATAAAAGAGGGGAAAAACAGAAACAAGAACAAGTAAGTTTAAACTGGCTTGGAATATGTTTGAGCTGAAAGTTAGGTTCTAATCATCAGCTGCTGATTAATAATGTATGTGGAGAAAACAGAAACAAGAACAAGTAAGTTTACTGTGGCTTGGAATATGTTTGAGCTGAAAGTTAGGTTCTAATCATCAGCTGCTGATTAATAATATGTGGAGAGGTACAAATACTAATTTACCTTCCTCCAAGAAATAATGAGATGGGATCATAAGTTTGTCATTCAAGTGATAATGATTTCTGGTTTTGAACTGTCAGTATTTCATTCATAATATACTTCCTGGCTGGCTTCAGGTCTGTAACCATATTTGACCACTGGTTTTGCATTCGTGTTTTGTCATTTTTAGGCAATTCTTCCCACATGAAGAGGTCTTAATCTGTTTTAGGATGCCATAACTGTGGTATAAAATGTTTCTCTTCCAAAAAATATAGATGTATCTAAATTCAGTCATGCTCTTTTTTTTTCCCTGTGATGGGTATATACAACTTGTCAAGGGAACCGAGTTTCTAAGAATCTTTCCAAAGGAAGTCAATCAAGGGCAATTTAATGGTGGCTTGGTTTAGAATATAAAAATCTCAGGTTTATTCTCATCTGTGAGACAAAAGCTGAATAATGAATTTAAAAGGTTGGAGTTTTATTTTGCTCAATTTCTTTACAGTGGGTATTGTAAAGTGGAGAAAAGGCCCTGTGTGTTCTTTCCAAAGTAAGTAGCAGGTCAAGCTGCTAAGTAGTGTTATTTATACTGGTTTAATGAAGGGAAATGGGATACTAAAAATTGAGTCAATATTGTGTTGATAGATAGAGGCCTATAGATCACACCAGGGTGATTCCAACAGAATCTCCTGCAGGCTTCAGTGCTCTTCTACTGATGTGCGACATTCCCTGCTAATGCTGCTGTAGAATAATCTTCTCATCTCTTTCAAACAGTAGTGCAAGAAATCACTAGAGACTTTGAAAGCACTAATTTGAAAATATTCTCAATATATTACATTTTCTTGATCATATAATTATTTTTTCAGTGTCCTCTGCATATTAACAGATATTGAAGTGTAACGAATTGGGTGGCAGAACTACTGTCACTGCTGAATTATTTTCTGGCCTTACACATGCCTAGCCGATCAGACAAGAGTGAATGCTTCTGCTAAAACTGACAGTTGAGAACTTGAGTTGTAAGAGGCTGGAAGACTTTCAGTAATAGCTTTAGCTCCTGCCATCCAAGTTACTTGTTAATGAGACTCTTAACTTCATTTTACACACACTTTTCTGTTATGCTTTCTCTTGTATAGTGGTGTCACTGTAAACTATGTGGTTATATGTCAAGACCAAACTGTCTGTCTTGTATTAAACAGATGACAGATACCGAGATGAACAACTAATTTAGTATTTATTGTTAGGTTGCTCCAGTGGTGGACTCTCAAGTAGTGGCTTTGGTCAGAAGAGTGGTCCATCTCAGAAGTTGGGAAATCAGTGGCAGAAATCCACAAAACCACAAAGTACTTCATGGCAGTCCCAGACTAAATCCAGCACAGCAGCTAAACCCAATTACACAGTAAACTTCAGTGTTATTGGAGGACGAGAAGAAAGAGGAGTCAGAACCCCAAGCTTTGGTAAGTTTTATGAAGGCATTACTTCTTATAATGGTCTGTGTGAAGTTAGTCAGATGTGGTGTTAGCTGCAGAAACTCTTGTACTTTCATCTTTTTATTTATGTTTAGGTTGTATCTAGTAGAAATTTGAAGAGAGCTTGGCAAATCTGGGGTCCTGCTTTTGCAAAGCTAACTAGAATATTGCAGAGACAAACTGACCACGGCCCAAATATTTACAAGTTTGGGCATAAAGTCTCAAGGCTATATTCACTCACCCACGTGGGTACTGGTTTTGTATCACTGGGTTAGAAAGGTAAATTTGATCTATCCAGGGAGAGATGGTTGATAACGTTGCTTCATGCTAGTCCACGTGTGATACACAGGTAAAATGATGCAACATTTTTCCTCACTGAAGAATAGTAGCTAGTCTTAAAGATTGAGGTTAAACTTACTCAAAATTCTTGTGTTTCAAACAGGGATGGGTTTGGGAGCAGGTGGAATCGTTCTTGGAACCAGTCCCTTAAGATGTTCCAACTGAATAGGCAAATCTAGAGGTATAGGGATAGGCATGGCCTCTTCTACATTAACCTTCTTGGAAAATATTATTTTCCTGGTGTGTTGGTATTAGGATTATGCCTTCCTTAACTGGCATATAAGTGAACAGCAGGTACTTCTATAAGTTGAAATGATTTTGTTGATCTGTATCTGGAAGGAGGTGACAGGACGGAGAGGCAGTGGGCATAAGTTGCAGCACAGGGAAGTCTGGAGAACAGGGAAAAAAATTTCAGTTAGCATGATGAAATGCTGTAATGGGGCAAGGGATGTTGTGGATTCCTAATCCTTGAAAACACATGGACCTCAACTGGACAAGGACCTGAGAAATTTATCTAGTTGTCCCTGTGAGTGGGGATTGGACTAGATGACATCTAGAGGCCTCTTCGGAATTCAGTTATTCTACAGTGCTCCAAAATTTTTTGGTTCTATAATGACTATTCATGTTTATTTTATTCTTTCATTATTCTGCATAAGTTCCAACATACTTAAATGTTGACTACATACTTTTGAGTAGAGTATTGAGTAATGGTCACTTGAAAAACTGCTGCACAGTAATTAGAACTACTTTATAGTGGAAAAATGGAACCATTTCCAAAATCATGAATAGGTAGATGTGTACTCCCTCGAATCGACTTCATTTTTTAAAAAATAGGACATGCAAGTATTTAGTCACATGTATGCACATAAGATTATCTGTTCTGGTGGACTGAAAGCTTGTCAGTGATCCCTTTTGTTCCTGTCCTTCTGTTAGTCTTGTGGAGTTTATCAAGCCACTGAAGAATATTTATCATGGTAGTGAGAAATGTCATGCAGGTGTATTTAAGTGCAATATATTTCCCCCATCAATGTATTCTCCTATGTAACTTTTCATTTAATGTTTTTCTCCCTGCATAGGTCAAAAGCCAAAAGTTTCAGAAAATGACTTTGAGGATCTCCTATCTAATCAAGGGTTTTCAGCTAAATCTGATAAAAAGGGACCAAAGACCATTGCTGAGATGAGAAAACAAGAAATGTCTAAAGATATGGACCCCTTGAAACTCAAGGTTTGTTTAACAGTGATTTTGATTTAAGTGTAGATCTGAGCTTATGCTTAGAGCTGCTGATAATAGAGCAGAAGGATAGTGACTAACAGAGCAAACTGATAAAGCAGAATGAAATTTTATCTGTATTTAAATCATATGACTGTAGAAGTTAATTAGCATGAACAAGAGTCAGTTGGCAATGAAGCAGCAGTGACAACAGCACAAAAAGTGTGTGGATGGAATGCAAGTTCCTGTTTCAGCTAAGGTTGGAGAATTTAAGAACCTGTTTTCTTGTCAGAGTCCATTTCTTGAAGCCAGAACTGTTCTTTATCTCTAGTGTTCCCAAAGGTCTCCTTAGAAAAGATGGATTTGGCTGATAATACAAAACTACACTTTAAAAAACAGGCAGGTGAGAATAGCTGTCTTCAGGGTGACCACTTACTTGCATTTACTGGTTTGCAAGTGCTGCTGCTGTCCTAAGAAATGACTAAAAGATGCAATTCTGGAGATGGGCTATAGAACTAGTCTGTGGGGTGTTACCTGATCAGCTGTTCAGATTTTTTTGATGTATTACTCATTGATAACATCACATATTAATGTACTTTCAGTTTTGTAGTCTTTATGGTGCTTTAGAAGATTTATAAAAGAACTTAAGAGGGATGCTGGAATTTGTTTTCACAAAGTGTTACCTGAAGAGAGTGTGCACAGCTTGCATGGGTAGCTTTTAACACAAATCACCATAAATGGAAATAAATACAGATTTTTATTTCCCGTACTCACTGCTGATAGAGGGCAGAGATTTTCATATTACATAAGTGTTTAATGAAGACACTATATCACAGTGGCTTGAATATCGCTGTTAAAGTCTGAAATGACCAGTTCTTCTAATCAGGTTTCATGGGGATATCTGAAAGAACATTTTGGTTTGTGCACCCCTGCATGTTGCTTAAGTAAACATTAACTATTAATATATGTGATCTGAAACTTTTGTACAAATTCAGAATTTTAATAAATGTGCCCCAACAGGGAGTTAATATTAATTGTAACGATATTTTCAATTACTCCTGTCAATTCTCGTCATTAATTATACAGGGTTTTGTAACATGTAACCATCTCAGTAATTTCTCTTGCAATGACTGAATTTCAGCAATAAACTAATGACAAGGAGCTACTCCCTAGTGGCAGATGCAAAATACCACTTTTGGGTGGCTAATGATCTGGGTGCCAGAAAGAAGAATGTAGTGAGACAGTTGGACTTGGGGGGTGAATGCAGCAAGACAACTGTGCTTGGGTCTTAGTCTTGTAGTCTTGTACAGAGTGAAGGTTATGTCTCTAAATAGACTGAGAGTGCTTACAGTGCTGCATTCAGTTCTATACATTCTGTTTTTCCCAGATTCTTGAATGGATTGAAGGAAAGGAGAGAAATATCAGAGCATTAATATCCACTCTTCATACGGTGCTTTGGGAAGGGGAAAATAAGTGGAAACCAGTCAGCATGGCAGATCTAGTAACTCCTGAACAAGTAAAGAAGTACTACAGGAAAGCAGTGCTTGTAGTTCATCCAGATAAGGTGAGTGTGTTCCTCTGATCTTCTTTCCTTTAAAAGGAATACAAACTACTTTTACCACACCATACGACTCACTGACAGATGCTGCAACCTTGCTTCTTGATCTTCATTTTGCTTCCATGGTCTTCTGAATTTGGTGTCCTACTGCGTTCAGGTAGTACAGGATTTTTCTTGTCATCCTGACACAGCACAGAATTCAACAGATAAATGTTAACAAATGAAAGATCCCATGAAGGATGTACTGAGCACCAAAGTCAGTTATGCTGGGTTCTGACTGACTTCTGGCAGATTTAATGCTGATTAGTGGAATCTGCTTTATTTCTACCAGCTGATACTTCAGGTCTTTTAGGACTATTCACCAGTATATGAAGACTCAGAGGCTGCCACAGCAAAACTGGTGGGAAAAACCTGCTGAACCTCCTTTACTAAACAACTTTACTAGGAGCTAGAAAAAGTAAACTTTATTAGAGTAAACAAATTAGCAGTTGAAGAATGCTTGATGAATATGATGTTCTAGTTGTCTTTTTAAAATTTAATGCATTCTGTTGCTGTTTGTTAGTCTCCCAGTGTATGAAGGTAGCTTCTTGTCCTGAGTCATTGCTCTAGGCTGTGTTTTGGATATAAAGATAAGCATTGAATATACACAGTTTGAATTTTCAGGCTTGCCTTCACATGGTGGTTCAGTGAGCAGTAGTCTAAGTCCTGTGTCATTTTATATCCATAACAGAAACAAGGCATTGTTCGTTCTTTTCTTTCCCCATCCTTCACTGTTCTTGGCCATGTGGTTTCTTCCACCTTTGTGGTGGTTTATTGGTGCTTTCTGTAAGCTCCTTAATGCATCAGTGTCAGAACATGGGTCTTTTTGAGGCATTTTCTTCTTCCTTGGTTTCTTTTCTGCCACTTTGAGTTAAAACAGTTCCTAAAAGGGTCTATAAAGTACTGCAGCTGGCAAAAGCCAAGTAGCAGGAGAAGGGGAAGGATACTGGAGATGGCTCTGGGGCTTCCCTTTTGTGTTGGAAAGAACCTGTTAAAATGACTCATCTCATCTTGTGGGACTGGATCTTTACTAACCACAGGGGTTGGGTTGGCCCAGAGGCAGGGCTGCTGTGAAATAGGCAGGCAATCAGGAGCATACTATCTTTGAGTATGGAGGCAAACGCACAGGAAGTGCTATGTTGTTAATGTTGAATCTTAACATCATTCACAATCAGCAATAGATTTTTCTCCAGGAAATCCTGTCCAAAAGGAGTCTTCCTAAATAGTACTTAAATTTTATTCTTGCACACTACTGCAAGGTCTGTCAGGAAGCAATTCCAAAAATGACTGGATTTGCTTATTAACTAAAACTATTTATGAAAAGAACAGCTTGGAAAACTGTTTTTAGCTAAGTTTGTTATTTATGAATTGCACTAGAAGTTTGAAGTCATGTAAGGAACCAAGGCATTGGTTGGATAAGATTGGAGAAGGCTGTGTGTCTGCAAAATTATATTCACACAGTAGTCTAACGCTGTTGAATAAGATAGCAAATATAAAAGGGGTGAGATCTTTCCCAAGTCACATAATTCCTAACATTTTTATGGTTCTAATATGTTCTGTTTGTTTTCAGGCCACAGGACAACCTTATGAGCAGTATGCCAAAATGATCTTCATGGAATTGAATGATGCATGGTCAGAGTTCGAAAACCAGGGATCAAAGTCCCTTTTCTAAAACTTCTCCTTTTACAGAACTACTTCCAAAAACTGGAGCTGAGCATTGTTGTGACTTTATTGCACCTATGATTTATAAAGCGCTTTTCCATGATTTCAGCACAGTTTCTAATCATGCACTTAAATGTGGGGATATATTTTGTAAGATGTAGAGTACAAAGCATTACATAGATGCATTAAGAAAACAGCTGCTCAGTACTTGAAGAAATCACAGTCTGGAAGTAAAGATTTCATTTCAGTTTTATATATGGTAAAATAGAATTTTAATGAAGCTCCGTGATTTCTGGTATACTAGTATTAATTATAAATCATTCCAATTTCATTGATCTTTGCTTTACCCCTACCTTCCCCAATTTGTCTGTTACTTTCAGTAGTTTTGTGATTCAATTTTGATGTTTGGTGCCTGTCGCCTTACTCAAAGTGCTTTAGTTATCAGCAGTGAATTTGCTTGGCTTATCTCAAACCTGAAGGTGTATATTTTCATCTGTATTTTATGTAATCAATCTGATAATCATTCTGTAAATAACGTTTTCTGACAATACCTGTGTTCCTTACAATAAATTAACAGTTGTTTAGCCAAAAAGACCCCAAATGTGGGAAAGTCAGCCAGGGTTGTTCTTGATTTTTAACTTTTTTTTACATAAGAATCTAGAAACAAATCTTGACTTCAAGGTCTGCGTGTTCCTGCTGTGTTCTTATTTATTATGAACCTTTGGAAGGCAGTACTCTGACCAGTGCTTATTTTCCTAGTTCTTTAAATGGTGTCTTTTGCTTCTGATTTCAGTGGAACATTCCTTCCATTGGACTTCAGATACCCTGATAGAAATAATGTTATTCTGAAACTTGAAGTGTAAGCACAAAACATTTTACTCTGCTTCGATTTGTCTGAGTCAATACTACATTACTCATTATCATCTGGAGAGCATTTAAAGTGCTTTAACACATTTTGCTGTATGTCTGAACTTCTGTATTTGAGATATGCATGACATCGATATATGTGAAAACATGAGGTGTATTGGTAGACTGTTGCATTTCTGGTCACCTACCTTCCATGCACTGGCAAGATGAGTAGAGAGACAACTTGATAACAAAACTTGCCATGTTTTCTCATCCCTATTCAGAAGGCAGTTTTTCACTAGTGCTGGGGTGAATGAATGCAAATGACCAATGTCTGTTATACTCTGTGTAATAACAGAATGCAATTTTCATATCGAGTTTGAAAATGTTGAAAAATAGTATTGTGGTATTAAAGCTTTGGCAGCATTCTCTTGAAGCAGTACAGTTGGGCATTCAAGGGGATACTTTGATCATCTTGCCATTTTATACATCTTGCATGCTTAACTGAGGGGGAAGCTGTACCATCATCAGAGGTAACTGTTCAGCTGAGCAACATGAACAGAAAACATGAGATTCTAATGCCACCTGAACAGGGTGTTGGATGAGGTTTTCCACTGCCGTGCCAGTCTGAGAGCTGATGGGTTAGAGACTTGTGAACACAGGTTGCGATTTATAGTTTCTAAGCTCAGATCTAACACAGTTACTTATTAATGTCTGAGAAAAGGTTTTGTGTGTGTATATTCACATATATATTCAGCTACTGTGATTTGTTTTTTTAAGATGGAAGCCAGAATCAGTTATGGATCAGGAAGGTTATGTATTATTCATAGCTGCAGTTGTATTTCAGATACTGCTTTCAAGCAGTCTTAAATCTCAGTAGATTTCTTCATAAAAACAGGTAACTTGCTGCCTGATTTAGAGTAAGAGCTGATCTTTCTTTCCCTGGGACACTTCATTAACTCCTTGTATTCGTGGTCTGCATCCATGGAAATTAAAGGCTTCGGCTGGTAGGATAGGTTTGTTGGAGACCTGCATGGCTTTTCACAGTTCTAGGGCAAATGCTATCTAGTAACAGGTTTAAAAAGACATACACAGATGTATAATGACTGTGATTGTACTCCTATCTACAACTGAGAGATAAAGCATTTCTGAGGGAGCTGCTTTTAGCAAGGAAGGACTACTTAAACAACCCATGTTCCTTTCAGCACATACAGGCAATGTAATTGAGGGACACATTTTTAATTGCTCTTTTCTTGAAATATGTTTATAAAAAATTAAAACTGAAAATTGGGAGGAAAACATCTTCCTCTCTGCTTTGTATGTTTGGTAGCATTTTCTGGATGATGTCTACATTTCTGTTTTTATCTGTCTACTTGTTTGCAAAATTTTCTTTAACAGTGGAGAAGAACCTTCGATGTGATTTTAAGTGAGTAGGGAAACATGAGTGCAAGTGTTTTATCTGGAACTGAACATCTCTTGAAGTTGATTCCCCCTTTTTAAACTTATGGAAAACCATGAAGTTTGGCTGTGGATTCTTCCAAAAGCCATTTGATAATCAGTGAAACTTCAGTCAGGTTGACAGGACCCTTCAACTTATTTTATGGCTTAATCAGCTCTGGTCCATAGTGGGGGAACTGGATGATTCCTCTATCCTGCTCCTTTCTGCATAGTTGAATTTTGGTGCTAGGAATCTGTGAGAGGCTCACTTTGGTAAACTCTCAAATCTTGACAACGAAACTATTCTGGGTTTTTTGTTTAACTGTGTCATGTGGTTGTGTTGCATACAAGAATGTGCAAAAAGTTGGATTTCAGTAAGGCCCTGTAAGCAAACTTTAAAAATTCAAGTGATGAACATGAACACAGTAAACTAAAGTTTTTTTTTTCTTTAGAAGATAAAGCAGCATGAGGACCACAAAAGGTGTTTCATAGTGTAAGGCTTATATACTAATTTTTTTTAGTTACAGGAATCTGGGAAGAGAGAAGTTAAGGTAAATTTTATATAAACATATATCGAGTCTTAATGTTGCTTTTAAAGGAGATGGTCATTTGGAAGAAAAAGTCCAGAAGTTCTGTTTGAATTAATCTTAAAACAGTAATAAAAAATGGTAAAAAAACTGGGAACGAGGGCTTTTCAATGTTTCTCATGCTCTGTACTTCATTGTTAATTGGTTGTCTGCTGTATGGAATAGGGCTGCATGCAAACTGTTACACAGACATTTCACTGTAGCTGTATTCTTAATGTCCACAAGCTGAAAAGCTTTTAGAATAGGCTACAGAAAAATTTATTAAGCTGAGACTTAATTAGATACTGTGAATTCTTTCTGGGCTTAAACTGTGTATTTTCCATTCATGCTTATTCATTGCACAGTTAAATTTTGAAATCTTGAAGTGAAATCATGTCCTGAAAGTTAGACTTTGCAGTCAGCAGAAGTAGGTATAAAGCTTGAGGTTGAGGCAACACCCAGTCAACAGTAGGTTGATGTTGTGTCTAGCAGACTTCATAAGTGGCACTTGAAGTTCTGTTGTGTAGCATCTCCTTGACTCTTGCAGCAAATCACTGTGCCTTTTGGCTCATGTTTGTAGTTCCTTTGTTAATGACAACTGACTAATACCATGCCTTCTTTGCAGCCTCCCAGGATCCAATTCTTAAAAGTGAGTAGCTTGATATGGTTATTGCAAGAGCAGAGAAAAACAATGCAATGTAGATTAAGGGAAGAGTAGAGAAGAACATCCAGACTCTAACCTACATCTCAAATCTTGTTTTCTAATTCTCTCTTCATTGACCTATTCCTACCTACCTCTGCTAAAAACAGGTCTAGACTAGTAGAAAGAACCTGGTTTGTAGCCAGCTTTTCCAGCCCTTTTAGAAGTGCTACTGACTGGCTATAGACAAGTGGCAGTACTAAGTGCTTGGCTTTTTTTGCAGAAGTTATAAAGCAGGGCTTATAAAATGATAGGCCACGTTTCCACTAGTTATTTCTGAATTAAGTTGCTTATGTTACATTGCTGTTAGATCTGGAGAGTCAGGCAACTTAAATTTTAAAATAGAGATCTGTGAAGAATTGGTGTTAAGAGTGTGTGTGGCTAGAACCTGCCAAATGGAGAAGAGCGATGTGTTTTGACCATGTTGGGGGAAATCAGTTGATGTCTTTAGCTTTGGGCATGCCTGTTTGGCGTTTCCTAGTGCTGTGAGATTTCCTTGAACTTAACAGCAAGGAAGAGAAAGAAAATGAACAGTTAAGCACTTACATTCATATTAAATCATGGGGTTATGCTAAATATTGTTAGTGGGTAGTGATTCCCTGACATCAAGCCTGGGAGGAGAAGTTCCTCTGCATTGTCACTTGGGTGAAGTTCAGATAGTTTGCTAATCAATAGTAGCTTCCTTTAGCAAGTACAGAATGGAAAACCTGCAACAGTGCTGATGAAGTACATTTCTTTGCAACAGTGGCGAAGTCCTTGTCATTGCACCTGTGAGTAACTAGTGCTCATGAAAAATGCCTCGTTTACCTCCATTTTCTTGCTAATTCTAGAAAGTTCCTCCAGTGTTGTCTTGCCAAGCACAGAGTTAACAGTTCCTTCCTAAATGCAGACTACGTCTCAAAGATGCATGCACAGGATTAATACTGTGCACAAACCGAAGCAGAGTTTGAGTGTACCTGAAATCTCGGCTGCCTTTTGGGACTGCTGAGCTACATGCACTGTTCCACCTCCCAAGGCCAGACTTCAGTTTCCCCAGCAGTGGCTGTATGTTTGCATAGTCATTGGCCATTGCATACTCTGCTGCCCACAGGAATATTTCAGGGGTTGCATAAATGTGGAAACCTTGTTGCTCCTTAGCTCTAGCAATTGCAATGTAACAAATGCTTTGTAAATAAGTTCAGATTAGTCTTGTACAGTTGCCTGTGCTTTGAGTCAGTTGACATTTTCTGTCAAGAACTTGCACCAAGACCTGCGAAAGCTGTAGGAGGAATGTATTGTTTTCCACCCCTTGAGTCTGTCCCTGTACTGAATTGTTTTCCACCCCTTGAGTCTGTCCCTGGTGCAGAGTACCTCTAGCTACCAGATGCCCAGTGACCAGGAGCAAAGGGTGACTCAACTGAGCTGTGGTTGTGATCTTGATGAATCTTGCAATGCTTACTTGCTCTCTGTTTGGGTGAGCTTATTGTAGACTGCAGTTTAGACTGCATTAAACTTCCAACATACGCTCCAAAAATACAAATTCAGTCATTTTTATGAAGGGTACCTTTTGTCATAGAAGCTTTTATTGCCAAAAGAGGATTAAGAGGCATTGTGAGAACTCCCGAAACTCTATTTAGTGGAATGTACTGTATATTTGCAATGTAGACTTCTAGAAGCAATTGTGATCTCTGATAAGGACTTAGCTTGCTCTGAGGTCCTTATTGTATTTACCTGTAGTTGTGATTGTACTTTCTATACTTGTGATTTTTCTGGTTTGGTGTGTGTGGAAGGACAGAACAGATTTTTCAAGTCCTATTTTTTGCCATCTTTCAGGAGATGCAATGTACTGAGTAATTTTGCTACTAGTGAAATGAAAATTATACCTGTATGTATATAAAGGTAATATAGTAAAATTAAGCCTTGTTTAAAAGTAGATTTAATGTTTGGCACAATGTCCTTGAACAGAATATTTTGCTTTGAAATGTATTATGACTTAACCAGTGATCAATTAAAACAAACAAAATGACTTTGCATGTTTCTTTCTTTAGCAAGAGAGAAATGACCTGAATACCCAAAGTATTTCCACTGCCTCTTTCAGAACAATATGCAAGTGTTAGAGAAATGGTTCTCATTAGTATGTTGAGGTTGACTGAACCTCTTAGAAAACAAGTGTCTCTTCAGAAGTGTCTCTTCTCCTGTTGGAGATGAGTCCCTGCAGTGTGCTCTGCAGTTTGGCAGCTGAATTTCTTAGACTGCTGCCTGTGTTGGGCTGAGGGGTTCTTGAACAGGACCTGGTGCAGTGCAATGCCATCCTGTCCCCCAAGGGAAGCTCTTGCATAGGTGCATGACAGTGATCAAAGGGAAGGAGAGCAGGAACAAGTGTGCAAGACTGAGGCAGGAGGGAGGAATGAGCAGCCTCTAGGGAGGGTGGGGGAGTGGGACATGGTGTGATGAAGGGCTGCAGATCTGGGGAATCTGTGAGGGGAATGCTGGAGAAAGGGGAGTCGCTGCTGGGACGGTACTAACAGGGTGCCCAGAGGCTTTTTTTGATTCCATGCTCTCAAACAAGAATGGGGCAAGCAGGGTCTTTTATAGTTGGGAACAAGCCACTTGGTGACATTGAGAAAGGCTCTTTAAAAAAAAAGCATAGCAGTGTAGGATTACCACAGGGCATCCCCAAGGAGAAGGGTAGAAAACAGGGAGGATATGGGAGGATGGACAGGCATGACCAAAGGAGGATGGGTGGGATAAGCTTGGGGTGGGAAAGAGAAGCATTAGCAAGCTGAGAAGCAAGCAAAGCAAAGTTCTGTTAGGGAAGGGCCATTAGTAATGTTCTTCATATTCTGCTTACTACTTTGAATAGTCTGAGTTTATAAGAACTGAATATTAAGATAGGTCTTCTAGCATTTTCTCACCGAATAATCTTTCTCCCTGTATCCCCTACAGAACATGCTGCTACTTTTGCTGTTAATCTGTTTACTCTTAATGTGCAAAGCTGCTGAAAAATGTATTGATACCTACTTCCAGTCCTTTACTGCTGCAGCAAAGAAGGATGTTAGTCAGTTGCCTCTCTGCCATGTACAAAGCCTCTGGCTACTCTGACATGTATCTAGAAGGACTGAGTTGGGAGTACAGTCCACAGCAGATGGAAATCCTGCAGCGTCAAGCTTGCAGGCATCAGTAAGTAATTACACCAGGTAGGCAGAATGTGTTACAAAGAAATAGCATGGCCTTAAGTTCAGTATCAAGCAGAGCAAACAAAATGGCAAGAGCAGGGGATAAAAAAAGGCAGCAGAAACACTGTGCAGAACACTGTGTACCGTGGTGTGCAGAGCAGCCTGTAGCAATCCGAGCCAAAGCCTTCCAAGCCTGCACCACAGACATCTGATCTGGATGCTGGAGTACTGAACAGGATACGATTTGCCCTGCCTCAGCACCGCCTCTGTTGTGAGGGTGAGAGGAGGACTTCGGGCAGATTTTTATGTTCCATGGCAGAACTGAGCAAAAAGCACTGAAGAAGGGAAAATGGAGCATGTAGGTAAGTGAAGACTATCTGGAAGGGTAACTCCCTTTCAGTACAAACTGTAAGGGATTCTTCATCTGTAATCCCTAAAACAGTGCTGGCTATTCTCCTGGGGTGGCCTCTGATCCTAATCGAAGGTCTGGGCACACACAAAATAATGGCTGTGAAGTTCTCTGGAGTGTAATGCTGCTGGCAGACCCAAGAATTAAGTAGTTATCTTTGTGTGTGTGTTTGGGGGCTCACATTTAGTAAGGCCTCACTTGGCCATTATCCGTTGGTGAACTTCACTGCTTGCTTCCTTGTGCATGGTTTTGGTGAGCAACAAGACAGCAGAAGCACTCTGCAAGTTGTGCTCTGAGGAGATGCGATTGTCAGTCAGCTGCCTCCCTGCCAAACAGTATGCAAGGTATTCAGCAGACTTCCAATGTGCAAGATGAAACCTGAAGGGACAGCTCATCCAACTTGCTCAGGAAGCTAATTTAAATCACAAACCTCTTCAAAGGTTTAAGATTGCAGCTGCTAAATCTGTTTATTTCTCCTGTATGAAACAAACAGAAGTACATAGCTGTAAATTTTGAGTACCAGCCTAAATCTTGCTGGCTTTGGAAAGAGGAATATGCGTTTGTGGAAAAACTCATGTAAAAGGTAGAATAGAAAGGCCTCAAGAGTAGGGGGAAATCAGGAGACCTAGCTGTACTCTGTGCTTTTTAAGGTAGGAATGTTGTGTGCTGTGAGGTGCTGAGTGTTCCCTAGCTTAGTGTTTGAGCTCTACTTCCACTGGATCAGCTCATCTGATCCCTGCCAGCTTGGTCCTGTCAATTTCATTATGAAGCTCAAAAATGCTGTGATGTTGACAGCCTTCCTAGTAGCTGTTAATGGAGTATTTGAGCCAGAGCCTTCCCTGTTGTCTTTGGTTCAAAAGACACTTCAGCTTCCTCTGGGCTTCTGGAGTTTCTAAAGCAATGGGTTCACCAGACTTCATATGGAAAGTGACCTTCAGCAAAGCAGAACCAGAAACAGTCAACCTGCAGCAGTGAGCAGCTGTGATGTCCTGCTACCTGCCTGCTCTCTCTGCATCCTAGCTGTGGTTCACCCTAGAGGCAAATAAGGTGCCAGATTTATTATAGGGACGTATGAACCATGAGAACTGGACTCCCTCAAGTGTTTCAATGGATTGAATTAAGGTTGTTGAACCAGTGCGTGTTCTGTGTAATTTCACTCTGAGACTTTTTTGGTGTATTATGGCTAACTTGCCTCTCCTGCCCTCACTGACTCATTGTGAAACCAGGGATGAGTGCAGGGTTTTTATTACCAGCATCTTTTTTCACAACTATCTTGCCTCACTGTGGAAGCTGCCCTCCCTTTTCTTTCTCCTACTCCCACTTCTCACCAGGCTTTTCTACTACTCCTACCAGCATGAGCCTAACACCTATTAGACCTGGAAATGCCTCATCTGCTTCTGTGCCCACCTGCTGCAGCTGCTTCCCTGCATGTGCAAGGCATGGGCCACTTCCACACCCTTGTATTTTTTCTCCTGTGTGCTGGGGTGTCATAAGGAGTACAACTCCTGTGGAGAGTTGAGCTGCAGTTGTTTACCATCTCCAGACATAAAAAAGGGTGTTTGGGGATTTCCTAGGACTATAAAATCTTCCTAGGAATTCAGTGAAGGGGGAGAGGCAGAAAGGACTCTGCTCTGTGCTCTGCTTTTCCTAATGCAGGCAGCTCCTCTCGGCATGTCCTTGGCCTTGTGAGCTCCACAGTCGGTGATAATCCTCTCCATCCTGCTGGAGGGGGGGGCGGGGAGGTGATGGGGAGGTGGTTGCCCTGAGCCAGCCCTTCTGATGGCAGGCGGGGCTGCGGCCAGCACAGCTCTGCCAGAAGAGGCAGCTGTAGTCCCTGCTGGAGAGGGCAGGAGTGGGGGGTGGCAGCTGCATTGCTCCCTTAAATAAAATGCACCTGACTGCAAGTGGAATTATTTATCAGAAGTAATTATGTTTCTTTGTTTTGATTGCCATCTGCTGGCAGAAGGACATGTTCTTAGCCATTTCAGACTTGTACCACACAGTTTTTTTTCTTAACCAAACTTGTGCCACACTAATCATTTTGCATCTGTTTGTGTATTTTCTATGTGAATGCTGCAGAAAAGGGGCTGCTTTTGGATGCCTGAATTCATAGAGCTGATGATGCCTGAGGCAGGGCTCACAGCTGTCTGTGGGGCTGGGGCTGGCAGAGCAGCAGAGGCACTCAGCTCATCGCCCCAAGCTATGCTGGGGAATGTGCTGTGCAGCTGCTTCAAGCTGGGGCACTGCTGCCTGCTTTCCCCCTCCAGGAGCCCTCAGGCTCTGCCTCTGCTGCGCTTTAACTGCTACCCCATGACAATGGGTGATCCACTGCTTGGAGCAGGAGCAAGTAACCTACCTCGCTGCTGTCTTCTTACAGCTGGAGAAAAGGGGAAGAGGAGACATGCACCACAGGAGTCTCTGAACTGGTGTGGAGGGGGGGATGTGACTAAAAACAGCATAGGAAAGCAAAAGGCAAAGGAGTAAGTAGATAGATCACAGGGCTGTGCATTGCATGTGCCCAGGCTGTGGTGAGTAGATGTGACCTCAGTACAGACATGCAAGTATTTAGAGTACAGATACTCAGGCACAGTTGCCTGCACTGGGAGGAGGAAGAGTAAACAAAGCAGCCAAAGCTTCCTGGCAGTGCAATCTGCTATACTGTCCCAATACTTGCTCCGAGCCCCCAGTAAATGAGGCTGTACTGACTGTTCAGCCCAGGCTGCTTCAC